TTTTTATGATTTATTAATGGTTCCTCAAGAGTTTAAGAAAAATAATATTACTCTAGGACCATATATATATAATGATTTAACTTATAGTTATCCTATATCCATGTTATGTCATATTGGTATTTCATATCAATATCCTTGTTTCTTAGATAATCGACTTTCTATTTCTCTCTCCCTTTTCTCACTCGATCTTTAGCATTTGCCCCATCTTATTTTTGTAAATGTAATAAACCAAAATATTGTCAACTAAAATTTAGTTTTAATACTTGTCATTTTATTTTAAAATAAATTATCTTCAAAAAGTATTTTTTCATTCTTCAATCACGCCAATTCTCAGAACAATTCCTGGTCTGTCACTGATTCTAGAGCCTCCATAGTCGGCCAAAGAATTAGTACTGTTAGAAATAAAGGAAGAATATATAATATGATATTGTATTAACGCTTGAGATTATAAGAATACATAGGGGTTTATATAGGAGACAACATGTGTGGAGAGCAAGTAAACATAAACCCTATATGGTTAACCTATACATGGTAACAATATACCCTTTCAAAATTAAGGTGGCTTATATGAAGCTATCTTGAGTTTGAAGACAATCATTTCACCCTGATGTAGATGACGTGGCATCGATGCTAATGTGATTTATGACATGGCAACTGAAGTGGCAGATGACTTGGCACTATTGTTGGCAACTCTGCTGCGTGGCAACTAACGTGGCACAACTACTGGCACCGTTGCAAAATGTGTCTGACATTGCACCACTGTTGCATGTCTATATAGGGTTGATCTATGAAGATCATGGAGGTAGGTACGGAGCGTGAATAGGTTGACATTGCCATCCCCAATGGTAACTATTATAAATTGATGGGTTACGAATTTTTAAAGATTCACTGTGTTGAAGGCGCGTGTGAACGCATGATGACCACTGATGGCATGTGGTGGCGTGGTGACGGAGTTGATCCGACACGTTGAGGTGCGAGATTACCGCTGGTGCACGTGAAAGTGCATTTAAGAATGGGATTACCACTTAAGGCACGTGGTGGCGCGTTGACGGAGTTGATCCAACACGTTGAGTATCTCAAAACGTGGCATCTCGTTAAACAACAAGGCTACCCTGTACGGGGCATCCCTAGGCAGGGCTTCTTTAAATTAGGCATCTCATTGGGTTTCTCAAAGGAAGACTTAGACAATGAGCCTTCCCTGGATGGGGCATATGAAGATCTTAGAGTGCGAAAGCGTGAGTTTGCTAGTTGACCGCCGCCGGGGATGGGACTGATAGTGTCATCCCCAGCGATAGCTCTGATACCATGTTACAAATAAGAAAGATAGAGCAATTGTATATTTTATTGATGTAAATAATATAAGAATATATAGGAGTTTATATAGGAGACAACATAAGTGGAGAGAAAGTAAACATAAACACTATATGGTAAACCTATACATGGTAACAATATATTCTATAATATATTCTAACAAGCACAATAGTTTGTCTTATTGTAATGTAGTGAAATGGTTTCTACCTCTAAGGTCCGTAAAATCATAAGCAACAACCTGTATGGTTCAAGAGTGGATGTCATTTCGAGCCAGCAGTGTAAATCAAGCTCGTTGTTATTGCTGGGGATAATAACTCCTTCCAAATCACTTGACAGTCGGTTATTGTTGAGAGTTAAACCCCCCCTCTTCATCACACACAACGGAAGCATCATCACATCACATCAACACAATTATATATGGAGATAACAATTATACACATTCACGCACAACACAATATTTTACATAGTTCATCCAACTCTAGGGCTTCGTCAATGGAAAGAGAGATTTCACTATCATGAATCAAGAAAGAAAATATACAATCACATGTCAAAGCCCCACTCACTCACTCATCATCACTTTTGAGGCTACATGTATACATTCGGGAATTACATATACTCTTTCCTCTCCTCACAACACTCACTCTTAAACCCCTTACATATTTTTTTTTTATTCTCTCTCTAAACCTCACATACCCATATCTATTTATAGCGTCTTCAAAACCCAATTCCTTGTTGGACAAGTATTCCCCTACAAGTTACCATAACCGTCTTCAACTCTAAAATAATAGGTATAACGTATTTTTCAAATCTTCGGCCTTTTCTCCAAGTCCAAAATCAATAAGAAAATCAATTGACATAACTTTCCAAGAAAGTTGAATCAGTTCACCACCACTAAACCTGTTCAACTTTGTCATGTAATAACATGGTAAAATTTCACTGTCCAACTTAAACCAATTCAACCCCATTTGAACCGATTCAACTTTGACAATAGCCAAAGCCAAAACTACACGCCCAGGTTGAAACAGTTCAGAGAGAGAATTGGACCGGCTCAACTTTGGCAGTAGCCAAAGGTAAGCCAAAATCAACAACTTTGAGCACCCCAATGCTTCATGTGATCAAAATATGTCTTCACGTACATGTTCCACAATAGATCCACCTCGAACAAGGATCTCTTCATAATTTCATCTTAACTAAAGATTTCTCCAACTCAAATAAAGCACTATGATGAAATTGAGAAACACTCTAACAATCTTAATCTTTTCTCAAATTCATCATTCTTCTTCTTCTTCTTCTTCTTCTTATCTATTCACCCCGTTGGAGTTCAATTGCTCATGTATGGCAACCCACCAATCTTCAACTCATCTTTATCAATTGTTTTTTTTGGTTCAAATGACCAAATCTCCTATCTTGACTCTTCATATTCCTCTTTGCTTGTTATTTTTCACTCCCTTGCCCCATCCTAAGAATTAGCACCTACTCTTGGCCTGTCCCCAGAACTTGTTCCTTGTAGGCTTCACCTCTATCACATTTGCCCCATCTTGAAAACGAGCATCCTCCGTCTTGTCCCCAAGACTTGTTCCTCATTGGCTTCACCCCTATCACATTTGCCCCATCTTAAAAACGAGCATCCCCCCGCTTATCCCAATAACTTGTTCCTCATGGGTTATCCCAATAACTTGTTCCTCATGGGTCTGTGTCTTCACACAATCTATCTTTTATATGTCATCATTAATTCTAATTGAATTTCCATGGCCCCTTTCGATCAACCTTCTGCTCTAACAAACTTCACACCAATTTTTTACTACTGATCTTCAGGAGCAATCACAGACTCTGACCCACCATCGGTTCTGATACCAGTTATTGAGAATAATTAACTCCTTCCAACCCACTCAATAGTCGGCTGTTATTGAGAATTAAATCTCTCCTTCATCACACACAATGAAAGCATCATTACATCACATCAACATAAGCATATATGGAGATAATAATCATACACATTCACCTACAACACAATATTTTAATGGTTCATCTAACTATAGGGCTACGTCAATGGAGAGAGAGATTTCACTATTATAATTCAAATAAGAGAGCAAACAATCACATATCAAAACCCCACTCACTCACCCATCATCTCTTTTAAGGCTACATGTACATATACTCTTCCCTCTCCGCACAACACTCACCCTTAAACCCCTTACATCTTTTCTTTCTTCTCTCTCTCTCTCGAAACCTCTCATACCCGTCTCTATTTATAGAGTCTTCAAAACACAATTCCTTGTTGGACAAGTATTCCCCAACTTACCTACAAGGAGTTAGCATATTCGTCTTCAACTCTAAAATAATAGGTACAACTTCTTCCCCAAATCTTCAGCTTTTCCCTAATTCCAAAACCAATAAAAAAATCAATTTATGTAACTTCCCAGTATAGGGTTCACCACCACTGAACCTGTTCAACTTTGTTATGTAATCACATGGTAAAACTTCATTGTAAGCCAAAATCAACAACTTTGAGCACCCCAATTCTTCATGTAATTAACACGTAATCAAAATATATCTTCACGTACGTGCTCCACCATAGCTCCACTTCGAACAAAAATCTCTTCATTACTCCATTTTAACTGAAGATTTTCTCACTCCAAAAAAAGCACTATGATGAAATTAAGAAACACTCTTTACTGTTACTAGTGTTATTTCTAAAAGAAAAGTCCACTACATTGGGTATCCATATTCCATCAAATTCTTTCCCTAATTGAGGGTTTGATACAAAATTCTGCAAAAATTTTAAAAAATAATAATAAAATTAAAAATTAAAAAAAGAAAATTTAATATATATATATATATATATATAAGAAAATTATAAAATAAAATAAAATAACAAAACATATTTGTAATCATTGTCATTAGTTATCTCATAATCTACAACTACGCCATTGAATATCCTTGACATTTTTAGTTAATTTTATAATCACCCTTAATGTGATGTGGTCCAATGGCAAAGAAAATTAGGTAAAATGTTAGTTTAATTAATGCAGAAATCAATAATTTAGAATCACAACGGATTTACAAATTTTTAATAGTTTAGGAGTTTTATTTGCAATGTCACCGCATGTGCATAATTTAATAGTTCATTCATATATTCTTCTTCATTAGACAACGACAAGTTCTCCTGAAAAAATTACTCAATATAGCTCAAAATTTTGTTTGTTTGGATTATTAGTTTTGTGTATTCTGATGCTTGTTCCTTGAATCATTGGGCAGTTGCTTCCTTGGTTTTCTGTTGATATAGCTTGAAAGAAAAAGGAAATGGAAAAAGGAGGGAGGGGGAAGAGATTGAAGGGAAATGTCCCTCAAAGGATTGGGTAATTTTATGATTAGAGAGAATACAGTATATGAATACATTAACATCCTAGTGGTTATAGTGCATAGATAGTTTGTTTCAAGACAGATCTCTATGCAAGCTTAATTTAGCTATATCTTTTGCTTCAAGTTCCAGTGTTTTGGAAGGTAAATAGGAAAGGAATAGTGTTTCCTCTGCCATCCTAAGTGAGACATCATTGAGAGCCACAGATAAACGAAAATGAATGAAATCTTCCTCTCCTTTTTTTTTTTTTTCTATAACAAAGATTTTCTTTTTTCATTGGAGTTACTAAAATGGACCATTGTAACGCACGAAACTTGCTGAGAGCTAATTTTCAACTGGAAATGAGCTTATTAGCAACAAAGGAAACCTGAATAATCTTCATAACAAAACTGTTCTTTCATTAAAAAAAACACAAACTCATAAGAAAACTCTGCTCTTACAGCATAAAATTCACCAAAACAAGTTCCCTTCCTCTATATTATGCGGCTAAATTTTGATATTGAAGTACTCGGGGTCGAAATGATGTAATCTTACATAACCGTCTTCACCTCCGCTTGAGAAACTACAGACAAAAATAGAAGAAAACAAAGTCAAATATACAAGTCTAATGATGATCTTCTGTTAGAATAGAATCGGTATGTATAAAATCAGTCACTGGATAGCAATTGCCGCACTAGCCAGTTATGGATAGCAATATACAAACTAGTCAGACTAAAACATACATAATGCAAATGAAATGAAAACAAGGTGCTAAATGGAAGATTCAATTGTATAAGACACGTCTTCTACTTTAAATGTGTGCAATTGTATCAGTCATCCTTGCCAAATCAGTTCTCATATAATTCATTTCTTTATCATCATCACCCTTGCCTCTTAATCCCATATGAATAGAGTCCACCACATGAATTATTTCTCTCCAAGCTTTTTAATTACATGCAATTCACCTACTATATTTAACTTTTTAAAATATTTTTAATAACCTCATCCCATTTTATTTATTTTTGGCTGCCCACTCTGTCTCTTACCTTCTATTACAACTTGATTTCGTTCCAGTATCAACAGTAAAAATAAATGGGAACTATGTTCTGCAGGTATCCAGCCTTTTATAACTTTATACCATTGGGATCTTCCTTTGCATCTTCAGGAGCAATGGGAGGGTGGTTAAATGAGCTAACTGTGTAAGATCCCTACTGTTGCTCGTTTGACACACAACAGATATTAAAAGATACTTTTAGGAGTCTTCCTCGTTTGACTAGGTCTCCCATGTACATGTACAAACCATCTAAGAATGGGTACTACACCTAATTTTCCTCACATTTTCATTAGTCACCCTATCTCTTCTAGTCACTTCATTCATCCATCATGACATTCCATTATTTTCGCTACATGAAGGCTCTTTTTTGGGACCCAACACTCCGCTCCATACAACATAGTTCATCTAATAATGGTCCTATAGAATTTTCCTTTTAGCCTATGCATTATTATTTTTATCACATAAAATCCCACTAGCTTGTCTCCATTTTGTCCAACTCGCTCCAATTCTACTAGTTACATCACCTATACCCATATTTAGTATCATCGATCCTAGATACCGAAAGTGGTGGTTTTAAGTAATTCTTTGGTTTTGAAGTGCTATCATTATATTATCAATGACTGAATCTTTATTAAATTTGTATTCCATATACTCGGTTTTAGCTCAACTAATTCCCAATCCTTTCGATTCTAAAGCATTTCTCCACATTTCTTGTTTTATTGCTAAGATCTCTTAAGAGATATCCAAAAGCACAATATCATCAGCAAACATCATGCAACGTGGAATCTCGTTTTGGAATTCTTTTTTATTTATTTCATCTAAGATTATTACAATTAGATATGGGCTTAGCACCTATCCATGGTGCAATCCTACTTTTATGAGAAACTCGTCAGTGTCACCACATGTGGTACGAACGTTACTTTTTGTATTTATATACATATCTTGAATAGTTTTTATGATTTTTAAGGGAATTTATTTTCTTTGCAGGGCCCACTTAATTAGTTCTTATGATTCATTTAACTCTTCAAATAAAATAATTGTTTTCACGATTTCTCAGATTTTTTTAAAAGGCACGATATCAATTTGTGTGTATCAAACATATTCCATGATCATGCATAAGAAACATTCTAACTCGAACAAGGATGTTGGGCTAGCATTTGCACAAAATATATAGCAGACGTATGTGTTTGCGAACATAAAATGTGTCAAATTCGCCCAGCAGCATAATTAAAGGCATCACTTCAGGATTAAGTATAAGGAAAATGTGTGCGCACATTTATGCTATACGTGTCAACAATCACCATAGAGAGTTTTCACTCAATAGATAGGCAAAAATATATTGGTTAAAACATGATCAACTAATACACCATGAGCATCAATGAGTGGCAATAAAGTAACGAAAGAAAAAATTAATAATTAGTGATAATTCCCCCCACTAAAGTACAATGTACCGTTCAACAGATTTTAACTTAAAACACTGATGGACTAATTTACAGGTATCCAGACTGGTGACTAACAAGTGCATGGCCACATATAGCCAATTTTTTTTAAAATTGTCAACAAGGATTCTAGAAGTAATATTCATAAAGAAGAAGACAAATATACATGTTGAAATATATAAAGCACTCATACACCATACTCTGAAACAAAAGTACACAAGAAAAACACTTGCAGGTACTTAGAAGACACATAAATGACCACAAAGGAAAGAAAATTTTCAAACTCATTACCTTTAACTAATCTAAGTATAATACATGAAATTTGCATTCCAAAATATACCACTAAAAATGGTTAAATTTAATTCACTTAATCACACATTGCAGGCAGATATTTAGAACTCACCACCAAAGGATAATAATTCTTAAATGAATACTTTGAGGGGGAAAAACAAAGAAGGGAGGGTAAATGTCGGCTCAAAGAAGACATTAATAAAACTATGACAACTTTATGGTGTTTCTATTTTAAATACAATATTGAGAAGCCTTATCTGCAAAACAGTACAATAACAAAAGAGATACCTTTTCCCATCAGGATTGAATGCCAAAGCATTTATAGGTCCAAAGTGTCCTTTCACACCTCCAATTTCTTCTTGAAGAATCTAAGGAGACACAAGGAAAAAGTAAAACATAATCAGTTAAAAGATTACACATCAAAAAAGTTTTACATCCCTAAACATTAATCCATTCTACCTTGTCAAAGAATTTGGCCTCAAACTTCCCAGCACGGTGATCAGTCATCGTGACATTTACTGCATCCTGACCACCTCCGATCACCACCTGAAAAGTTCAGGATGCATCAAACTCAACATGAAACAATATAGGCTTCACAAGGATGACAGATGTTACTTTGAAAAATGAAGACCACCTAAAATAGTATGGCCAGGCCCTTCAGTTACTGATGGACACCCAGAGAAACAAAATAATAGCCGAGGATGAAAGTTTAAGAAGCAAGTGTAAAATATTGTCTAACTCAAATGTATAATTTGCTTTAAAAGCTCCACTGCCATAACTGATACTCACCAGACACATGGTCAACTTAATAAAATTTTCATAGAATAGATGGTAGGTCAAAATACATAAACTTATTGAATTAGTTAAAACCTTCCTCTATACAACCTAGAAAAACTTTCACTTTGCATTGTAATTCTTTGGTGCAATTTGCCGTGATTGCTGGCAGGCATTTGAGCAGTCGACATAACAACTACCTGCAATATGGTGAAACTATCATTCATGCCCTATACTCATGCAAACCCTAAAGAGAGTAGACATCTGCATCTGGAAGTGTAACTGGAAACCAGGAAAAGTTAACTATGCCACAAAAAAAAACAAGGAGACAACCAAATCAAAGCTACAGCTGCTGCCAAATCAATTGAGTTGGCTGAAAAGTCCACTGAGTTTGAAATTATTAGTCTAATTTCTATAACGGAGAATTATTACTACTCTATCTAATTGATTTCCCAATGACTGATAAAGAGAAGAGGTAATGACGATTTGCTGAAACAAAAAAATTCTACAGAAACTAATAATTATAAGTATTAGAACCATAATGAATCTTGGGTGCATTCAAAAGGGCTTTGAGACTCTCTTTTGGTCCCAATCAGGACCAAGTAAATACCAGGCCATGCTAAACATGTTGAGTCTCATAATTTATTGATAAAACCTAAAATGCCAGAAATAACGGCCCTTTTTTTGTCATTTTGTTTATTATTTCCCATATATGAATAAGAATTCTAACTAGGACTAGTGTAGAAGCCATGAATAAAAAATAGAAATAAAAGTATAATAAAGTAATAAAAGAAAAGGAAACAGATGAAATTTCACAACAACTCAAGGCCTCTAAGATGACTTATGCAAGCATTCCAAAGAAACCCCTGTTTATTTTCTACATATATTAGTATTGCATATCAACTAGAAAGAAAATTATTTTCTCAAATGTATAACAAATTCCAAAAATTCGTTTTCTTTTTTCTTTTTAACAGTTCCTTCTCCTAAAAATAAAATTGCAGATACCAACTCTTGATGCCTTTTATCAAGTAGGCTTTTCAGTTTGAGTTTGTGCCACCACCCTTTCTAGCTGACTAAACATTTGATATAAATAAAATAAACAGCACCTAATGTGTGTGCCATCACCCATTAGCGAAAAACGTACCTTCCTATGAGCCCCTAACTGCGCATGTACTAAAGTAGTTCTGGTGGAATGGTTACAAGCATCAGCAGATAGGAAGATACTTGGATCAAGGCCAAAAACTAGCAAAATCTAATTCCTTATATGGTATCCGCAATTTCCAGCAAGGAGGCCACAAAACTTAAGACCTCAGCAGAAGAGAGGAAGCAGAAAAATCATGTAACTGTGAAACTTCATTCTCCAGATGCCTTCCCAGGGTTCTAATGATGGAAGCTCATTAACTTTGGAGTCATAAAACTAAAACTATGGGCCCCACACCACTCAAGAAATCTTCTTGGTCAGAATGGAAGTGTCAAGCACTAGTTTTAACTTTTAACTTATTCTTATTTTGATATTTTGCTGCTGATAGGAATGTATTTATGATTTAAGGAATCAAGAGTATTTTGGAAATTTCTAGATTAGCTAGAGATCTAATTTAGATGTTGTGCATGGGTATAGACTGGTCTTTAGTAGTCACCACAGGACCGTTTCTAGGACTTTCTTCTACATCTTAAAACCTTAACCCTACAAGCTTTCCGTTACAAAATCCACCACAGGATCGTTTCTAGGCAGCATAAATCCAACTCCACAAGCTGTTGTGCATCAATTTGATACCAGAATTCGTAAGAAAATCTTTCCCTGTGCTTGTCTTTCAGCATAATATTAATCCAAATTCTGGTGAAATGTTGTCCTCTTCTCCAGACCAAAATTCTGATGGTGAACATCGTTTCATATATTAATTACTCAAAAAAAGCTAATTATTATCAACAGTCGATTTTTCTTCAGATGGTAAAAGAGAATGTGGTGAACTTTATTCTATAGGTAAAAACTAATAACTCATTCTAACTGACCGAATATTGTCACCTTGATCCCATATTGTGATGACACCGGAAACATCTTTTCTGATACTACCTTTAAATAATAAAACATCAATTAATATGAACCATACACTTGTTCTTGTAACAAGAAATGAACGTTGTGGACTTTAAAGTAATGAATAGATAATTTATTAGTAACTGGAGTTTTTAATGCCATCCCTTTAAAAATTTTGAAGTATCAGAACAAGTTAAAAGCAGCTTTACATACTAAAACTCTATGTCATGCATGATATTCCATCATTTTCATAAACGTTTTCTTATACAATTGTTAACACGATCTAATTCATAGTTGGAATAATCACTTTCTCTTCTCTTAAACCTTCAAAAAAAAGGCACCATCTGCTGAAAAGGATGCAAACCATTTAAGGACTTTCAACGCTTTTACCGGAAAAACAAAAGAAAAGAAAAGATTTTCAGCAGTAAAGTTGCATGTCACAGATTAAACTCATCATCCTATTTCAAATGAAAATAACAACCACTCAGATTTACACCTGAAAAAGGTCATGTTCATTTACTAGAAAGAGATAAGTCATATACAACGAAAACTACAACTTTCAAGAACCCAAGCTCTTTAGGAGGATAGAAACAAGAAAGCACCTAGCAAGAAGTACAAAAGTTTAGTCTATATGACCAGCACACTAAAAGAAAGGCAAATCAGGTCGACAAATAAAGAAAATTACATTGGAAATGATTTATTAGTACATACGTGATCAAGAAGTGGAGACATTGCAACTGCATTGACTGGGCGTTCTGTCACATATGTCTTGATAAGTGTCAATGATCTGGTGTCCCAAAGCTGTCAAATTTGTGGGAAAGAATAATATAGGAAAAAAGACAAAATATACTTGCATCATTAATGGAGAACAACGATAATATAAATATATAAATGAAGATTTCCAAACTAGTTTAATTTATGAGATACACTACCTTAGCAGATTTGTCTAAGGAACCAGTGAGGAAATGTGAACCATCTGCAGCCTTTGAAAGTGATGTTATTGTCTTCTTATGACCAATTTCCTTGTCAGACTCCTTGAGTAGTTTCCCTGTCTGCAAGTTTCACAACAAAGTAATTACAACATCGAAGTTTCAAATCCACAAGGGAACTTCATGAAAGAAGAGTAATATAGACCATTTAATTTCTTCCATCAAGTACAATAAGGCAACAATATACATTCGCAACCACCTACCTCTGAATCCCATATACGAATTACAGCATCTTCACCAGCACTTATGATAGTCTTGTTCAGGGGTCCCCAGACAGCTCTATTTATTCTTCCCTGAGGACCCTTAAGCACGAGCACAGATTCATCGGTCTCTGCAATATAATTTCATTGACAATTCAAAACATTTGCACATTTGCTTGTTAAATAAAAGGATTCCCCTAGCATAAGTAACACAAGTATTAAGCAGTTCTAACACCTTCGTACACAATGCCAACATGACACTTTTAAACCCATCGACAAAGGGAGGGAGGGACGCATATCTGTATGATAGGAACAGTCATATTTGGCATCATCTGGCATGTTAAGAAAAATTAAGTGTCCAAAAGCATATCAATGTGAAACACTAAAATGAACTTACGGCTCCTTAGCCCTTCCCCTAGCTTACGTTAAGAGCCATCCAGAACTGTTCGACCAATACTACTATTAAATTCATCTATGTCAGCAATTAATGTTATCAAAAAGCTGGTTAGAATGGTTAAGTTCAGAAGTCAGCCAGTATCAGTCAGTATCTTTTTTTATAAGTAGTGTCAGTCAGTATTGTTGATTTACTACCTATTCCTGAGTTGAAAAATGTAGATTGAAGAATGAATGAAGTTTGCAAAAGACGATTTGCATTGACAGTCTTGATCAACTTGAATCACAAGCAATCATATCAAGATGAGTAGATCAATTATTCACATTTACCCTCACAGTCGCACCTTAACCACCCCAAATAAGTGTGTTTCATATTGCACATTTATATGAGGATGGGCCTTGTCGCAATGGTAAGGTTGTTCCATTGTGACCTAGAGGTCAGGAATTCAAAACCAAACCCAACCTCTCCACAAGTGAAGGTAAGACTGCTTACACCTGGTCTCCCTAAATCCCACAATGGCAGGAGCCTCATGCGCTAGATTAGCCCTATATTTTGCATTTATATCATACATCATGATTATGGTGCATTAGATATATTTTTAGAATGTAGATACGTATGTTTTAAAATGAAAAAAAAAAAAACAAAAAAAAAAAAAATAGAATAGAAGAAACAAGTAGCACCATCAGCCAAAGCACCGACTGACCATAATGTTGTGTAAAATTGATTGACCTGTCGGGGAAAATATTTCCTATTATGTTACTGTTAGATGATATAAATGTCAAAGTTATACCTTCTCTAACATCTTAAACTTTTAGAATAGATCATGGTTAACAACTTGACATGATATCAGAGCCAAAAGGTCATTTAATTCAAATCTCATCATCACCCTCACAATTAAAACTGAAACACGTGTTGGACCAAAAGAAGGTCACACGTGATGGAGTATTTTAGAAGAAATAAAATATTAATGTTACACCATCCTAACAACTTATACTTTTAGAGTAGATGGTGGTAACAATTACAACTCAAAATTTCTGATATTTTAGTAAGAAACACCATGCAAACACCCGTATAACACCCTCATAAAAGAAGCCACACCAAGATATGGGTATGATATCAATTAATCATAAAACATCTCCAATCCAATCACCACAGCGTGGGAATGAAATCAATTAATCAAATTCAAAAGAGTGCCCAACTTGCCATATTATGGTTGCACACCCGTAACAAAATTAGTGGCCAAACCCTAAAACCTATCATACTTATGAAGTTCTCGTCTGGTAAGCCCTAAGTCCATTAGTAATTTATTGGGATCAGTCCCAAAATTATCATAATATATAAAATAATTCACATTTGCAATTGCCATAAAACTCTCCAAATTTACTGACATAGGTGATGTGAATTGCGTATACATCAACACAGCACAACAGGAACATTCACGTATCATAATATGTCCATGGATCAGTCCACTGTCTGTCAACATGTTTCAGCAACTACTCACACCTTATTATTTGCAATTAGATTTGCAGATGGTATTAGGGGAACAAAAAGTTAAAAACTTACGCTCAGTGGGATCACTGGCAATGGTTTTCACGTGAATAGCGGGAGCCAACTCCATAAATGGATCAGTGGTGATCACAACAAGCTTGTCACCGACTGCAAAGTCCACACACCTCGCTGGAGAACCAAAATTAAACGAGTAAAGCTGTGCTCCAGTTTGAACATTCCATAGCTTCGCCGACTGATCCGCACTTCCAGTAATAAGGCGCATAGAATCCCCTGCAAACATAATTTCAGTTCCCCTAATTGATAATCAAAAACCCAGAAAATCTAAAACCCAATTCATATCACTACACAAATAGTCTAGATATATATATATATATATATATATATATATATATATATACATATACTTTCACTTTCCCTATTGATAATCAAAAACCCCCCAAAAATCGAAAACCCAATTCGTATCAATATCCATATATAACCACACAAAAACACAAAAAATTGAAAACCCAATTCGTATCAATAATCATCTATTACATATATATTTATATATACACACATATAATTATTATGTATGTATGTATAGAAGGAGAAAAAGCGGCGGAGAAGGAAGGACTTGCTTGAGACATCACAACACCAAACGGCGCCGTTATGGCCACGATAGGTGCCGAAACGCTCGCCGTTGTCGGCGAACCAGACGGTGGGGGTGTGATCCTTCGCACAGGAGAAGAGGATGTCGCCGTCTCTGTTATACTTCAAGAACGTCAATGGCCTCTCGTGCCCTTTCATCAGAATCGGCCTCATTGTTTCTTTGTTTCTGAAACTTCCTTTCTTCTTTCTTTCTGGGTTCAATAAGATTAAACGTATGAATGAACAAAATGCCAATAGCAATTGAAACTCTGATTGATGGGTTATATATGTATATAACACAAATTACATATATATATATATATGTGTGTGTATGTGTGTGATGTCAATGTACGGAAAACAATTTACCTGAGAGTCTGCGGCTGCAACACTGAGATAGACGCCAAGCCTCTCTTTGGGTCTTGAGAATGAGTCGAGGGTTACGGAAAGGGGCAATATGGCGACAAATTTAGCAAAATAAAAAGGAAGTCCATAAAATTACTAAAAAAAATAAAAATAAAAATAAAATATTGAAACAAGTGTTTATCCCAAATTCTGAATTTGTAATTTCATCTTCATTTTTTGTTTTTTAAAGTTGGAAAACTGTTTGAAATAAGACTTTAATTTTATTTTTTTTTAGGGCAAATTACACCGACATCCGCAAATTAGGTTATTTTTCAAACAAATGAAGATTTTGATTTTAATTTTCCAATTTATTTTTTTGGCCTCAAGTACATGCCAATTGATTCTTTTACCCTCAAAATTTTAATACAAAATATCTTTATTCTTAAATGACTTAAAGGCCACCATATATATATATATACAACCACCACCACCACCAAATCCAAACCCTATTCAAAGCCAATAAAGCACAACAAGACTTCGCCAGTGGGTTCTTCATAACTCATCGACGCTGTGAAGCAATGCCGGTCCATCACCAAGACCATCGTCTTTTATGCTCATCGTCACCAGTGGGTTATTCCCTCTTCTCCGAGGCTATCGGCGCCTATGAGTTGCAGCCGTCGTTCCGAGCTCGCCTGCCCATCGCCACCTCCAATCCACAATCCAAAATCGATCCGCCCCCTAATTCGCAGCCGCCGTTCTGAGCTCGCCCGACCACCGCCACCTCTAATCCACAACCCAAAATAGATCCGACTAGCCCAGGCAATGCCACCTCCTATAATATATATATACGGTAATAACATTGTCACAAGGCCACAGTACTGCTTTTGTATATGTGTGTTTGTGTGTATATATATATAAATAGATAGATAGATATATATGTGTGTAATTTTTAGGATTTGGGTTTCGTCTGGCTGTGTGGTGGTGGTTGTGGAACAATGAATTTGGTAAGAGGAAGAAGAGGAAATGTGTTCGTTGAGGGTAGCCTGGTCATAAATATAGTTAGGATGTCAAAAGGTAGCATAGTGTCACGTTCCGATTCCTAACGACGCCATGAGCATAGAAGACACGCATGCTGGTTGGCTAAAAACATTCATTGACTGGGAATGGTTCCAGGGAAGGGGCGTGCAGGATCACAAGATGGTACATTTTCAGAGTTCAGGCAGGTCGACTCAGTTCAGTTCGAAGTGCTTGTCGCTAGTCGTAGACTTGACTATAAAGAAGGGAGTTGGCCATCCCTACACAAACTGGTCAGGAGCTGGAGCCGTTCCCCTAATGAGACCAAGGCAAGTCAAAACCAGTCAGCATGTATCCTTGGGAGGGCAGGTCGTGGTGGCTAACCAGGGCGCTTGCGCGAGTTGAAGCAACGCCTTGGTGCCGCACAGGCTATGCCGCTGCGCCAAATCTCTAGACCCATGACAAATGGTATCAGAGCTAAGGTCGTGAGACGTCACGCCTTGTGTGGAGGAAGCTATGGCGGAGCAATCGGACGTGATTAACAACCAAGAGGAGGATCTACGTGGAAGGGACACAAATCTCCCCCTAGTCGGAGTGAGACCAAGGCAGGTTAAAACCAGTCAGCATGTATCCTTGGGAGGGCAGGTCGTGGTGGCTGACCAGGGCAGTTGCGTGAGCTGAAGCAACGCCTTGGTGCCGCACGGGCCGTGCCGCTGCACCAAATCTCTAGGCCCATGACAAATGGTATCAGAGCAGGACTTGGGGCAAAGCACAGGGGTGTGCCCCCTTGTTGATCCAGTGGTCTTAAGAATGAAGTGGGTGCACTAATGCGTCGGTGGGTAATCAATGCTGTTGGAGGAGAGCCTTCATCTCCCCAAGAAGATGCGTCCTTTGAAGCTGGAGGGCCGCGCGCACCAAAGTTCTTGCAAGTTCAAGAGGCGTGCAAACCGTTGTGAAGGGCGGGTATCAAGTCAGCCGGAGGGCCCTTGTTTGCTCGGGGTGTCGCGGAGGAGGCATAACATGGGGTTGCGTCCCGAAGAAGTGGGCGTCCCTTTAGCCCGAAACCCTATCATTGGGCGAGTGCAGCCAGGGGTTGTACAAGGAAGCGATGGTGGGCAGGCGAGCATACCACTTAGAGGAGAGAGACTTTGGAATGTTAGACACAGTGGAGTCAATGCCACACTACGACGAGAACGCCGCACTACGACGAGGGCGTCGCAGGATTTGGGTGGGGGAGAATGTCACGTTCCGATTTCTAACGACGCCATGAGCATAGAAGACATGCATGATGGTTGGCTAAGAACATTCATTGATTGGGAATGGTTCCAGGGAAGGGGCGTACAGGACCACAAGATGGTACCTCTTCAGAGTTCAGGCAGGTCGACTCGATTCAGTTCAAGGTGCTTGTCGTTAGTCGTAGACTTGACTATGAAGAAGGGAGTTGGCCATCCTGCACAAACTGGTCGGGAGCTAGAGCCGTTCCCCTGATGACCAAGGCAGGTCGAAACCAGTCAGCATGTATCCTTGGAAGGGCAAGTCGTGGTGGCTGACCAGGGCGCTTACGCGAGCTAAAGCAACGCCTTGGTGTCGCATGGGTCGTGCCACTACACCAAATCTCTAGGTCCGTGACAATAGGCATTTAACAACTTGACATGAACTCTAATTATGTCAAGTGTGTAAAATTGACCATTAAATGTAATTATGTTGAAAGATGACTCAACTCTTATAATTAAAATTGGGCTAGAAAATAAGTTGATCTCCAATTAGTCTACTTTAAGGCATAATATTTTTTAGTGTAAAATGCAAAAAAATCCCTCAACTATTGGGGTTTTGTAACTAACCCCCTGAACTACAAGAAACTTTTCTAAACTATGATTTTATTACAAAAACCCCCTAAATTATTGTTTTGTTGCATTCCGATGGGTGACTTGGTTGGAAATATTAAAAGACAAATTTACCCTTTTTTAAAATTATGTTGTTTTGACAGTGGCCATTGATAATTTCATAAACCAATAAATAAAACAATAAAAAAAAACAATAAAAAATGAATTTATCGTCTCCTCTTTCCCTGTTCTCTCTCTGTTCTCTGTTCTCTCTCTCCTCCTAGCATCCACCAAAACATCATTGATGCTACCAATCCTTCCCCATCCGAAGCCCACTCCTCCACAGAAACCTACTTCCATTCCCATCTGAAGCCCTCTCCTCCGACGCCCACCGCCTCTTCGTCCTCTTCTCTGCCCTGCGCCGTCGCAAAACCCCCCAACCCCCCCCATCTCCGGCGCCTCCACTGGCTCGGGTACTTCATCGATCTCAGCCTCGGTACCCCTTCCCAGCGTCTTCTCCTCGTGGCCGACACCCGCAGCAACCTCATCTGAGTCACCTGCTCCGCTTGCCGCAGCCACTGCGACAACTACTCATTAGGATCGCCTTTCCTCTCCCACCGCTCCACCACATTCTCTCCCACCACTACTCATTCGTACCCACAAAACCACCAAATACCTTTTAATTTAGACACCCAAACACCAGGTGGTGTTTGGATTCGTTTTTAGGACAATCGCCGCTGTCCATAGTGATTCTGGATTTGCCACTCGGAAATTTGAAGAGTCGGGAACAGGTGAGTGTACGAACGAGACTTTGCGTGGTGCGGGAAAAGCTGATCTGCATCGCCGGTGGTGGCGTCGTTCAGTAATTGGATTCGAAGATAGGGTATGTCATGTGACCATCACATGATGACTTTAACAGTAAGATCCAACCGAAACAAGGTAAGATCCGACCGGAACAGTGACAGAGGGGGCCATTTGCAACAAAAATGCATAATTTGGGGGGTTAGTTGCAACTTTAGTAGTTCAGGGGTTAATTGCTCATTCCTTAATAGTTCAGGGATTTTTTATTTTTTACATTTTACCCTATTTTTTAATATATATATATATATATATATACACACACATTTAAATTCGAATTCAAAAGTTGTCGACACATTAATGGTCAAAGTAAATAAAATTTTTTAACCTAAACTCTAAAACCCGAATTGTAAAAGTAATCTGTCAAGTCGGTTGCCCAAATTACAACCCTACCCGCACTCGTCAGCAGGTCTGTGAATAAAAAACTCATCTCTCGCATACCCTCTGTTTTCACTCTTGAAGCCACGTCCTCTTCCTTCTCCGGTGAGTTTTTTATATCCTCATCATCTTCTCTCTCTCTATATATGTATACGTATATATGTTTTAGATTTTTCTCAATACATTAGATATAATCTTGTGCTATTTGCCCCAAACTATGTTCCGAATCACAAAAAATATTATATCGAGACAAATATTTTAAATCAACAGTTCATCTCGTGTGTTCTTCTTAATCAAAATATGTGAAAAAGGGGGAGCATTCGGCTCCACTAATTCATTTTTATTTATATTAAATACCTTGAATTTTACTAAAATTCTAGTAATGCCCCCACTAAATTTTTGGTAAAACCCCATTTTTTGATAGTTTGGAAAATTCTTATCTTATTCTTGCTCGAGGCTGGCCCCCTCAAATAATTTTCAGATTCTGTCACTCGGGGGCACCGTCCTCGCGAAACGGCCGCAACCTCACTACAAGCACAATACACAGCAATTGGTACTCTTCCAACTCTCTCTCTCTCTATATATGTATACACACGCATATATATTATATTTATATGTAAAAAGCCCTAGGTTGAGAAGTTGGTTTAGTTCTGTGTTTTGATCGTACCTTCATTGTCTGATACAAAAGGTATGAGAGAGAGAATTTCACAATTTCATGGTAAATCCTGAATTGTTAGCAGTTGATTTTGAGTCCCAAACTAAGTCATACATACCTATATTGAATGTATTAATATTTTACTGAATTGAGATGTATATTTGAGATTATGTTTCAAAATCTTAGTTACTTGTGTAGGGCATTGGATTTATCATATCCCATAGGAATAGCAGGACACGGATATGAAATCACACACACCCTCACACCCACACCCACACCCACACCCACACCCACACCCACACCCACACCCACACCCACCTCTTGTTTTAAGATAGTGTTCGATAGGAACATTTAATTGGTTGTGAATTATAATAATATGACGCAAGGAACGTAATAAGAGTTCTATGTATTGTTGTGTAATAAATTTAAATTTTAATTATGGTTATTAGAGGGCTATTACTCCAAATTACGACGAGTGAGCATTTTAATACCAACAATTGAAGACGATTATTAGAGATGATAGGGATCATTTGAGCTGCTGATCGTAATGATATGAGAAAGGCGTATTGGTGCATGTTTGAGCAGGCATTTCAGGCACATATGATATGCCCATATCCAAGTATCGTATTGATGTTTTTTTGATTTAACTGTTCTGAACTTGCAAGTTCTCTTTTATAGTTGTATGCCACTATGCCCAGTGAAGTTCGTTATATTCTATTGACGCCCTTTGAAATTGTATCATTAAGCTGTATATGTGTCAGAATTGGATGTAGGAAAGATGGTTTACTTTTCTGATAAATTCAAATAGTTTTCTCACAGTTATCTAATGTCTGTTAATATTTGTAGAGCAAAGACATTGGTTGTTTCAGCTTCATGTGCACTTTACTGAGTGACTGAGCCATTTGATGAGAGATGAGCTCCATTCAGTTCACTGCCTGCCTGCCCACTTTCAATGTCACAAATTTACCTATACCACGTATTGCCCCAGCACGTGTCTCTCCACTTTGTAGAACTTCCTTGAGATTCACTACTTGTCCATCGACATGCCAGTTTCCAAGACTGAGCAACATGTCCCTGAAACTGACCACAAGTGCATCGTCGTACCAGCGCCATACACCTGTTTGTTTATATGGTGGAAAAGAAAAGTCAGAGAAGGGGAATGAGGTAAGGGTGTTCTTGAATCTCTCTGTCGGTCTATTAACTTTGCTTCTATTATATTTTTTGAGAGTATTTCTCTTGAGAAATGTAATAAAATAGAGCACACAAATATCTCCAAACATCTGCCTAAACACATGTATTTGCATGCAAATATCTCTCAGCACTTGATCTGCCCTAGCTGGGAATTCCTCCTAGTTTGATGTTGCATAATCAACTTTTAAATAAAAATACTACCTCGTTTTCTGGCCTTTTTATGCCCTTTGTGTTGTAACCACATCAATAATAATGGGGCAGGTTGAATGGTTATGAGTTAGCGGCCACTTAGGTTGTCTCCTTCTCTGTTCTCCTCAATTATTTCTTTGCTCATTCCAGTTTCAACATTACTCCTATTGTGAATTTGTTGAGGAAATTGATTGTATGTGGATTCCTCTTGTTATGATGTTATCATGTTACCTGAATACTTCTCTGTTGGAACCCAAATTGACAACACCTCAATATGCAGACATAGTATTTGAAGCTTGTACACTTGTATCTGTACCAAAAAGTGTTTTAAATTCACCGGACTTGCAACTTGTTATCAGGCTTCTCCATGGAAAGCTCTTGAGAAAGTCATGGGAAGTTTCAAGAAGGAACCTTCATCAGTAGAGGATTTATTACGACAGCAAATAGAAAAACAAGAATACTTTGATGATGGAGGCAGTGGTGGAAGTGGTTCAGGTGGTGGTGGTGGTTTTGGTGGATCGGAGGATGAAGGTGCTGATGGGATATGGAATGAGGTATTGCAGGTTATATTGGCAACCGTTGGCTTTATATTTCTGGTAATAAAGCTCTCTCTCTCTCTCTCTCTTTCTTTTTCTCTGTGTGTGCGCGCGCACGCGTGTGTGTAATGATACAAATTTACTGTCTGCATGCACATGCATTGTTCTTCTATAGGATGAAAAAGGGGGGTGGGGTGGAGAACCTTAATGCCAAGAGTATTCAAAACTCAACATAAACATAAATTAGCAAAGATGTTCTGAATCTTAGATGTTTAAATTTAAAACAATTCTGAGGCTTGGGTCACAATTCAGTAATGCCTGATCTGGCAGCATGATTATACTAATGGGTCAAAAATAAAGGGGATTTTCATGGGAGGGAGAATTCCATATGTTTTTTATTCTTTTTGTGTTGTCCGCACGAGCACGCAAGTAAAGATTCCCTATATTGGTATAAGTAAACTTATATATTAGGTATGAACATTAGATCCATTTCATTTTTGAGTGCTTTAGCTAGACTAAAATATGGTGCATGACCTTCCAAAAGTTCTATATAGATCTTGAAGTCAGAAGCACCTTATGGGAAGGTGGTCTATGCATGGTGTTTCCCTGCTGCTACTTTTTTTTTTGCATTAACATTTCTAGCGTACTGCTTTTATTTCAGTACATCTTAATCATTGACGGTGAGGATATAATCCGGATATCATTGGACTTCATCAAGTTTATATTTGGAGGAAAGAAGAGCATTCGTTTGAGCCGCTTAATGTCCCAGTGGGGGATGTATTACCAGAATCTGACAAGAAAGAGGCAAGTGCAGAAGGATTGGCTAGAACGAGAAATTGTCAATACTCCTACGTGGTTCGACAGCCCCAAAAAATATAAGCGCTACTTCAAGTCTTTGGCAGACTCCGATTCTGATTAGTGATCAGGGATCTGTAATCATTGTTTCTCCTTTCTTATCTCATATTTTCTTTGGCTGTTATACTTTTCCTAGTTGTTGGAATGTTTGAAGACACCAAATTTAGTTTTAATCATTGCTATAGAGCCTTTGGCGGCTATTCTACTGTTTCTGGTTGTTGGAATGTTTGAAGATCATTGCTGTTTATAAGGGTTTGGTTGAGTATTTTCCGTTATAAGTTGATTGTATGATGGATGACTATTTCAAGTTTGGAAATTTTTTGTGGAGTTATTATTTTACAGGAATGAGAAGTCTTTATATCAAAGACGACGCAGGAGTAACCAGTATATTATTAATTGGATTTATGTGTTTCATTCATCAGGAAAATTGAAGATGGATGGTGTAGCAAATCTCATGGACCATAACCTAAGGTTTAAGCGTTGGTTATAATCATACTTTTAATTCAAAATGTGGATGTTTTGGTTTCATTTTAAAGATTGGATAGGTTCAACCAGAAAGTATATATATATATATTTGCTCTTGGTTCTCTTTACCCAAATAAGAAATAAAAAAGGTGTTTTTGCCATCAATAAAGGAAACATACATGGAAAGCTTCAAGTATGGTTCATTTCAGATCAAATGTGGGTGTATGTGCTAGTGAATATCTCTCACATATCCTTCTCGTCTTGAATGGTTTGATTGGGGGAAGCTCTAGGTAGTAATTTTTTTTAAGAATTTAATATAGAATAAATTTAGAATTATAACATAGATTTCATCTTTTTACTGGATAAACCAGGACTTCAAAAGTATTACTTGAGTCTTTCATTAAATAAATAACACGTGTTATGTATTTATAATTTTATAGATAAAATAAATATATAAAAATGTATTAATAATATGATATATAGTTTTTTTTTTTTTTTTTTTTAAATAAATGTCCAATAAATATAATGTTGCAAGTTCAATGGTCAATTGCCCATCAACAATGGTCAATTGTCCATCAAAAAGGAAATTCAGGAGGAAATAATTACTGGTTCAATATTGAAAGAAAAAAATAAAAAATAAAATCTAGGAGCCGGTTCAATATTGAACCGGCAGCCATTCTGGTTCTAGTGCCGGCCCGTTGTCAAAACAGTGGCACCTATATAAAGGACATCGCAATTGAAGCTCCCTCCTTTTTGGAGAGGGAGAGAGTCAATGTCGTCGTCTTCATCCGTCTCTGGGTCCTCCCTTCATAGAAGAACCGGTCAATCTGCAAATGACCCAGTAATATCTTCTGGGTCGCTCCGATCATCCGAAGACCAGGCTCCGAAACCACGACCCATTGCTCAGTTCCTGGCATTTGGATTCATCATCTTCCTTTGCTTCCTACAGTTCCTCCCGGCTACCCATTTTCGAGACCCATCGGACCCTTTCAGAAAATGGGTCCCTTTTAATTCCAATCTTTCCTCATCTGTAAGTTCAATTTCTGTATCGTTATCAAATTTTGGCTGTTTTCATCTAATTTTGCTCTATTTGCTTTTAAGGGTCGGTTTTGGTTTCTGATAAACAGTTGAAAATGATTTTAGTTTTTAAATTTTAATTTTATATATTTATTTTTGTGGTTGTGTGTAATATAGTGTTTATTACTACGTAACAGTGCATGGTGCAATGATTGGAAGGGTCAGAATGCGAGCTTCATAATTTGGTTTCGAGTTAGAGTAACCACTTTGTACAAACAATAACAATTATACCAAAGTTAGTTCAACAATAGTTTATCAAAATTTTTTTTTTTTTAAATTTAATTTTATGATTACTTGAAACTATAGACTAACCGTGCCTCAGCCTTAAGGCAACTATTTTTAATAATGGTCTCATGAAGCCATAAAGAATGGAAAATAAATTGCTATATGATTTTGAATGTGTAAAAAGGTAGGGTAATATATATATTTTTTGATAAGTAAAAAAAGTAGGGTAATATTGAAAAAGTAATCCGTATTGTAAGGATTCATGTCATATTGAGTTGCTGTTCTCACTTGAGATGCTCTTTTCAGCTAAACTCAACTCAAATGTAGGCCAACTGTTGGAAAAAGTCTTCGAAATTTGCATGTTCATGTTGACATTAATGGAATTTGTAAAACTTTTTTGAAATATTGTGAAAGATGTAATAATCTTTGGTGGAACTTTGGCAAGTTTTAAGCAAACAAATTATTGCATATTTGAAATCGACTTACACGGATAAGTATGCACGTGCTATCAAACAACAATTAAGTAGAGTTATGTTTCATGATTTTGGCATGCAAAATTACATCCATGCCTCGCCCTAAGTTAAACCACTAATCCATAAAAATTACGTAGTAACTAAACACATCAAGTAAAATAAGTTAATTATCAACTATAAGCTGGAAAGAGTAATAACAAAGACTTTTGTGTATTTCATCCTATTGACATTATTGGACAAATTCCCTATCAGAGAAAGTGTTTGTGACGCATAAGTAATTTGTTGTGGATTTCCCAAGACATCGATCAAGTGTCCAAAATACTTCAATTTTAAATCACAGAAGTTGTCTGAGCCTGACATGCTGCATGCACATAATTCCTCTTCAAAAGTGTCCATGCCATTTAGCTACCATCAACTTTAGCACATAAAAATTACTGCCCTTTAAGATTCATATGTTCTGGGAATTCGGAAAATTCCCAGAAAATGGATGTGGGTATAAAGGTATGGGTTTTCTAGTATTTCCATTGTTAAATGGAGGTCATTTTGGATAGAGTATTATCTGTCAATGTCCATTAGTAGATGCTAATTCATAAAGAATTTTCATCCACTGGAGTTCCATTAATTTTCCTTCATGCCTTCAAAAGTATGGATAGCATGGGAGCAAGTGAGGTGCACTTGGGGAAGTAAAATGAGAGCACACCGAGAGCCCCAACAGTCCAACTCCCTTCCTGTATTGGTATAGAATCTATAGATGATGCTACTTTTGCGACTTATCAAATGTATTGTTGCCTTGCACAGTTGCACTTGAGACTAATTCTGCATTTCTTCCTTATTTTTCTTTATCTCCCTTTCTCTTCTACATATCTTCTTTTGTTCAATATTGATGTACCTATCTCCATGATGGGTTATTTTATATAACCATTCAACCTCTTGCCTGTATACAGTCTACTGAATCTATGGCTTCAAGTAATGAAAATCCCAGTTACATCATTACAAACAGTGGAGAGGATGGAATGGTTCACATTGTCTCATATATGGACTGCCTGGATCTTCGACTGCTTGTAGCTCTTGCTAACTCCACTTTATCAAGCTCAAGGTCTGTTTGACATTTTTCTGCATCAATGTCTGAAATTTATCATTACAAGTTGTAGAAGTTTTTCTCATTCATTTGCATGGCTTTAGGATATTTTGATTTGTCATTTATTCCAAAATGAATGCTTCTTAATGTAATGTTAATGCCTTTCCTTCTGGTCGTCAACTAAATTGGGAATTTATGGTTGACAACTCCAGTATACATTCTCAGAATATTTCTAGTTTGTCCTTTACCACCTAGAAGATGAATGAAAAGGTTCCATTTTCTCTCTTTTTATTTTTATGGAATTGTGATTTTTGTTACCGGAAAAAAAAGAAAATAAAAGATGAATGAAAAGGGCTTTGTATGCATTCATTCTGTCCTCTCAACACTGTAATAATTTCATAAAGCCTTGAATATGAACTGACCTCTCTTCGGATATGTATTCGAACTTTTATCTCATGAGCATGATACAGTTTTGTAAATATCATAAAACATCACAAAAGGTTTCCAAATTTATATTTGTAGAATGTCAAATATTATTATTATTTTTTGTGGGGAACTCATTTTTAATGATTTTTTTTTTTTTGGATATGCAAGACTGTATTAGAAAGCGTTCAAAAGGGGAACGCAACCTGCAAAAGCTACACAAGTACTAAATCCCCCTGACTGCTCAATATATCAATTCAACTATCTCCCCCATGGATTTACAATTTCTCCCATAAACCCAACAAAAAAGAGAACTAAGAATAGAGAATTTTAGTGCTCCAACAGAAGAGTCCTCACCATCAAAGGATCTCCTATTTTGTTCCCTTCACAAGCACCACCGAACACACAAGGGTGCAACCCTCCAAAAAGCCCGGGCTTGGGAACCCACTAAACACCCTCTGCAAGCCTCTACCATGCCTGTCGAGGACTGAGGCACAACCCTCTGAATCCCAAACACACATAAAAGCATACCCCAACTGTCCCATGCTACCGGACAGTGCAAAAGAAGATGATGTACCGTCTCTTCGTCTCTCTTACACATGCAACACCAATAGACAATAACCTGTCTCCTCCCCTCAGGTTATCTAGCATCAGGATCTTCCCCAGAACTGCTGTCCAAGTAAAGAAGGCCACCTTGAGATGAACCTCACCAGACAGCCCTCCATGAAAAGCAGGCCTCAAAGCATCCAAGAGACACCTATATAAAGAGCGAACATCAAACCTCCCTTGAGAAGAGAGCACCCAGAGTCCCAGACCCAGGAATCAGGATCCCCTTCATCCATCACCTGATGGTAAAGCAGCTCCAAAAACCCAGTGATGCCCTCTAGCTCCCAATCCTGGAAGTGTATCACAAAACGCTCATCCCAAGTCATCCTCCTGCTATCAAGCTGATAATAGTCGGCAACAAAGGCATGTCTATCAATAGCAATCTGAAATAGTAACGGGAAGGTGCACGCCAACGATCTATTTTTTTTTCCTAGTTGGTACTCACACACACTTGTCTCTTCTGAGACTTGAATCCCTGACCTCCCTTTGGGAAATAAGAGGCAGATACTGCTAGGCCACTGGCCCGTTGGTCACGCCAACGATCTGTCACCACACCAAATATCCTCCCAGAAGCGAATATCCCTGCCATCCCGAGCCCTGAATCTGATATGTTTGGAAAATTCATCCCGCCCTTTCCTGATGAATTTCCAAACACTTACCCCTCTAGGAATCCTCACCTTTGAAGAGAACCAACCACCCCTCTCCTCCCCAAATCTGTAAAATATAACCCTCCTCCATAATCTCTGCCTCTCCACACCAAATATAACCCTCCTCATTATATTTTTCCATTCTTTTCTATGCAATTTCAAGTTGACAAATTAAGTGTTATGGATATTGTGACACTACATTCTTTTTCATGTATCTGTAGAAACTAGGGAGTATATGATGTTCAGATATAGGTTTGACTTCAGAATTTATTGTATATTCACTACTTTAAAACTTGATTCTAACTTTCTCAAGGACATTCTCCCTTTCATTAGTTCTGATATGAATATTTTTCAAATATCAAGTCATATCTGTTTCTGATAAACTCTTTGCATGTGTGGGTCATGTCAGAATTCTGGTAATTGTGATGGATTCCCTTATGATAAAAAATAAATAGTGAATATGCTAATAATTGATTACCATTATCATGTCAAAGACCCATAATACAATCAGTTGATCCCATGACCTACTGTTTTCTTTAGAGGTGGTGGAGTTGATCCATGCATAAGCCCAAGAAGTCTCATGCTAACAAGAACCTTACCAAGTTGTTCCTGCTAAACTACGAAATTCAATCCATTGGGTTTAATGAATATCTATTTTAGAAATGAAGTTGATCATAATGCAGACAGAGATGGCCTGGTTGGTCATACCACGAGAATTGTAAAACCATAAAGCTTTTTTTTTTTCAATTGCGTTGTTTCATCTATGTATAGCATTTCCAGTTATATAGTGAGCCAATTTTTATGTGGAGGCCTCAAAGTATTTGGCAGTGTCATTCAAAAAAGTAAAAGGACGAAGAGTTCTCTTTTCATTATATGCAACAAGAATGCATAGCTATAAACCAGAGTTACCATGGCTTGATGGTAGCTTGTAATCATCATGAAGTGGGTGACATGGATTCAAATCCTTTCCTCTTGATGTACATTTATCTACATATCTCAATTATTTGAAGATGAATTATAGGAGACTAAAAATCTATATTTAAATTCTTACTCTTGTAAAAAGGACTTGCTAATGTCATATTCCTTTCTTATCTTTTAGTTTATAATTGTAAATCTAGTCATGAAAATGTACCTGTCATATTTAAGGTTTGTTTTTGCCTCCATTGTACATTCTTTAGGATTTGAAAAGTAGAATTTTGTGTTACTTTGGTGGTTTTTAATGGGGTTTTAAACAGGTTTTCAGTTGAAAAGGTGGTAATTTGGGATACCGGAATTACATGTTCTATTACAAGAAGTTTTTCCTATGACTTTGAAATAGTATGATATGGGATCTGAATATGTCAATATTAAGTTACGAATTCCTGTATGGGCAATATAAAAAGTGAAGGTTTAGTGTGTTAAACTAGGAAGGAAAAAAAAAAGGTTTAGTGTGTTAATAAAAAATATATCTGCAAATAATAGATGTGCCCTATGACTAGTGAAATCAGGTACTATAAGAAGTTTTTTCCTTTAACTTTCAAAATAGTATGATAGGAGATTTCAATATGTCAGATATTGGATTATAAAAACCTAACAATTATCTGCAATATGTGGAGGTTTAGTGCTTTGATAAAATATGTCTGCAAATATACATGTTGAGAACCATATGTCTCGGAAAATAGGGCATGAAAAGTTGTTGTTGTTGTTGTTATGGCCCTATTATACAAAAAAAATTGCTCTAATCATTTCATTTTCTTGTATCTCTTCATTGTACTTTTGTTTGCTAATTCTCTTTCATTTGGTTGTCAGAGATCCAGAACGAATTTCCTTCCATTTCTTTATCCCTAAAGGGTGTGATGACAAAGTATCATATTATAAGCTGAAAGTGCTATTTCCACATTCAAACCTTGAAATTCGTGGGTAAGCCATACGTAGTTAAAATTTGAAAGGGTTATATGTGGGTTTACTGGTTGACGGTTAACCATTCCTTGTTATTAGGTGCATTTTTTAATTAATTTCTCTATTTGTTGACATTACTGCTAAAATGTAGGCAGGAGGAAGTTAAAGAAGAAATTATGAAAGCTTATCCTTTGGGAAAATATGAGGAGCCCCCTTTTGATGAAATTGCACCTTTTGTCATCCCTATTGTCCACCCTTCATTGAGAAAGTTCATATATGTCTCTCCAAATTTAATTATGAAGGTTAGTTTCTCTGTGTAAATTGCTCAATTTCTTACTCTTTTAATCTTTTAGGTTTGCTTGACCTTTCCAACAACTAAAACTTGTTTCATTCATAGCCATTAAGGTGCAATAAGAGAAGGAAAGATGCTGTAGTACAGACTATGGTTTTTATATTTTATTGCTGAACTCAGAGAAGGATGATGGCTCAGTTTATAAAACAAGGGAAATAGGGTTTTGGTGTGTAAAACAACAGATTTCAAGCCTCGGGTTCAAATTTCAATTGTGAAAAGGTGCTGGGAACAGTTCTGTTGCAAAAGGAATTCAGGAATTAAGAAAAAATAAGAAAAAGAGAGAAAAGTACCCTATTTCATGAGATATTGATTTAGATTTACACTCATACAAGTGGAAGAGTTTTACACTCTTTCTTTAACCAAGAAAAACCATTCATTCAACTTTAATTTTGTTTTTCAATATAGTGCCTTAATTATAGAATACTAGAAACTATAGAGACTCGCTTAAAACTCAAATTTGACCTACACAATGCCGTAATCAATTAAGACTCAAATTGTGTGAAAACTTCCCAAGTTACTAATGAGTAGCACTGCCCAAGAAAGACTACTAGCCCAAGGCAAGGTAGGACTTCTGGAATACAGAAATTCTAAGCAAAATAGCAACTTTTTATTCTTTTCTTAGTTGGTACTCACACACCCATATATGCCTCCACTGAGGTTTAATCCTTGACCTTCTTATGGAAAGTAGGGGCTTGGTACCGCTGGCCCACTGGCCCGTTGGTCAAAATAGCAGCTTTAGATTATAGATACAACTAAATATATATATATATATATATATTGCAGTTCTGTAATGATTAAACTAGTTCTAACCTAGAGTAACAATTCACAAGCTCTATAACTAATTAACTATACAAAACAACCTTGATATATAAAATTTTGAACACACACCTATACTAAGAAGCACTCTCACTAACACACCTATAGCAATTTCATGAACGTGTCAAAAATTCTAAAATAATTTTTATTATTTCAATTACTTGGCCTACACTTTCCGGACACTTGGTCAATATATTCTGGACACTTGACCAACATATTCCACTCTTCAATACGAATCTTATATAAAACAAACACATGATAGTCCTAGAAACAACATTATGGACATACGTCAAAGTATCCAACCTAACTTTCAAAAAATTGATATTATACATGTCACACGTAATGGACAAAAATAAAATTAGAATGTCAAGGTAGGAGAGTAATAGTATATATCTTTTGATATTTGAATGCCTTTATCTTCTAATTTATGGAACTTTAGTTGTTTTATAATTTTTTTACTCAATGGATATATAAATGAAAGTTTATATTAGCAGTGTCCACACAATGCCATGTCCTACTTTTTTGGAATTTCACGTGTTGGTATATCTGTGTCGTATGGTGTCAATGACTTGTATCCATGTCAATGCTACTTAGCACCCATATTAAAAACTAATACTTTTAGTAATTGCTTGGAACTCGATTTCCTTTTCTTGTTGTCAAAGATAAATGTCCTGTATGCACTTTAAGTTGAAATTACCACTCAAAGGTGCTACTAGCTTAATTGGTACTCACCACACTGACGATTGCGGTTCAAAACTCTAAAAAAAGGTTAATGCTCATCCTTGGTCCAACCAAATTTGGTACTGCGTTCATGTTTTCCTGGGAGATTTTGACAATGCTTTTACATAAATAAAATAAAAAAAAGAAAAAGAAAAAGAAAATCAAAATTCATCAGAAAATAGGAAAAGCAATTTTTCAGGATCAAAGGTGTTAGACAATTAAAATTGGCTATGTGCTTACTGGCGGTGGCCATTAGACCTGACACTTTGGAAAATCTCGTTGGCGGCTTGTCTTTTCAATTAATAGACCTCAGATCATCTAAAGATTGTTTTACCTGTCAAAAAAAAAAAGAAAAAAAAAAAGAAAAAGAATAAGTGAAAACAACTAATCTTATGCGTGCTAATGCAGGGAAGAGTTGAAGAACTGCTTGGAATTGACTTGAGCAATTATGATATTGCAGCTGCTGAAGACTGCTCTAAAAGACTATCTGCCTATGTTAATTTTGATGTCTTAGATGCCATTCATAGATCAGCTGCAAAGCCTTGGGTATCTGGGACACCTTACGCTAAAAATGCTTGTTTGCCAGACTTAAGTCTGATTCTGATTGATGCGACTAAACTGGACAAGGATCTTGTGCAAGCCATCCTTTGGTGGACTAAAGTTCTTAATACTAGGGAAAGGTTTTTTCCCATTTTCCCTCTAATATTGTAGTATTTTTTCTCGTGACTATGTTACTTGCCTGGGGCTACTACACACACATAATATTTCCTGCTCAAGTGTTAATGTATAGTGGAACAATATGATTGCTTTCACTTGAAAAGGGAAATTCCCCCATTCTGGTCCCATTACAGCAGGGTCTTGAGAAGGGATGATTCGATGAGTGCAAGAGTTAATTGATATGGAATTGCAATTATGTAGTAGTCATAGTTTGACTTCAAGGGTAAGGAAGAGACATTATTAGCCTGATATAGGGTTGAAGAATGCATTCAGGGATGGGTGCTTCATTGTTTTTTTGGCAATTTAGCTCTATGCTGTTATTTGTTTTTTTTAATTTTGAAAAACCAGAAGGTGGGGGGAAGTTAGATACTTGTATTATTCAATTGATATTTAGTTCTGTTGAGGTCAATCAATGAAATATAAGACTCGTTATCTTTCTTCTCCTACATTTCTTAGCAACCAAGCCCAAGGGAAAATAAAAATTGGCCTACCAAAAGAATAAAATTAGTTGAACTTATTCCATGAAATACTTTGGATTGTATGCTTTTTAATAAATATGAAGATGGTAATAATTATGTCTCAAAATTCATCTGATTCCGATATATGCAACCATGCCATATTGTCATTTATTTTTTATTGGTTCATTGCAGGAGCAGTCCAAATCCGGCAGTTGCACTTGCACTTTACAAACGATATCTCAAACTTCCTAGCTCCTGGATGGTTGGCAATTTAGCAACATCAGAGATCAGTAATGGAAGACTGGTTCTTCGGTATGGTGGGAATGGACGCGTTTGCTCTGAATTCAGCAGCAGAACTATTGAAAAATCAGATCTGGGGGATTTGTGGAAGCAATATTTACCACCGATGTCAGATCAAATACTGGGCCACTAGAGTTTCCATTGCTTGCTGTGTGGAATTTGCCTAACAGATGATGCTTATGCTGCTCTCTGTATATTTTGTCCAGTCTAGGATGTTACAGTTCAGTTTTCATCTGTATAAACCTTGTTTTCTGATTGTGGTGTTCATTGATCAGACTGTTCTTGTTCCAAATGTTAAGATCACAGCTGTTTTTATTCTCATTAGTGTGTTTACATTAAGCAAATGTTAGCAAACCGAGGTTGATTTATTAGAGTTTTGGATGTATCCTTGTAAACATATTTTTTGAAATTAGAAACAGCTGACACGATGATATTTGCAATGAATCTTGAAGTGGACTATTACAGTTCGGATTCTTGTTATTTCGGCCTTTTTTTAAAATTTTTAATTTTATGATTTTCTTTTCTTTACATGACCCAGTTTCGATGAATATCCCACCAACATTGGATGCTGAAGGGGAGAGAAGATCAGATACAAACTTAGCCTTTCATGCGTGCTGTATGGTACTCTTCCATGTCTAGAATCCTGACCTCACTTGTGCTTTTATGGGATTAGTGGGCTTGTCAATTTTCAAACACTTTTGTAGAAATTATTTCCTTTCATCAGTGTGGATACCACTATGCCATTCGAACTAAAATCTTCTTCAGGGCAGTGGACGCTGCGAGCGTCGCAGTGCACTGAAAAGAATAAAGGTTGGCGGCACTTAACATAAGCCAATTTGCCGACTGTTTCTCGTTGAATTTTGTTTCTAAGATAATTTGATGAGATGCTACTGTGCTATTTGAACTAAAATCTTTGAATTTTGTTTCTAAGATAATTTGATGAAGATGCTACTGTGCTATTCGAACTAAAATCTTCTTCAGTGCAGTGGACGCTGCCGGCGTCGCAGTGCACTGGAAACGATAAAGGTTGGCGACACTCTTCATATGCCAACTGTTTCTTGTTGAAAGGATAATTTATGATGAATACTATGTTTGAGCAAGATGGTTATATTGGTAGTTTACCGTCAGTTTGAAACTAGTGGCCGTTCCTTTCGAGGTAAATGGATTTTCTTTTATTTCCATGCCTGCGACATGATCAAGGAAAAGTAATTTTCTTTTATATGGGCATTGATTAAAATTTTTTTTTTTAAATAAGTTACTCTTTGAGACCTATGACTTATCTTCTGTGGATTCTCTATTTCAGCCTCTTTCTTCCCCAAATCTCCCTCTTTTTGCTCCACTGTAGTGGCCGGCAAATCCCATTATTATTTCATGTGGGTATGACCTTTCAGATGATGATTTTAAATTAAATGGAAGATTCATTAGTTTTATATGATTCCTACAACACCCAATAAGGAAAAATGTAATATTATGAATATCCAAAGATGATTCTATGTAGGGAACTCATGTCAGATTGGAGTATTTTAGTAGTCACCAAAATGGGCTTGTTGACTTCACCACTGAACCTCTTTTCACGTTTGGCTGGCTTGATTTGTTGCTCAAATCTAGAGGCAATTCCTCATGATTATCACTTCATTGGCTTAGTTTAATAATGGATTCCCATGGATTGTGGGTGTGTTTTTTATGCATAGTTTATTAAGTGGTAAGATGAATTGAGACTTCTTCAAGGAATGGTTTTGATTTTTGAATATTGAATCATTGGGTTACATAAACTATGCATGTGTTGTGTAGTATAGTTTAGTGAGTCGTAGGTTGAATTTTTATATATCCAGGGGGTCCAAAATTTTGGTGGCACTGATACAGACAATATTATGGGTGTATGCACATTTTCTTTAAATTTCAGGAAAGATTAAAAAAAAAAAAAAAAGAAAAAAAAAATATTGGTGGCACTTCGGTTTGGAAAGAAATTGTTGTTTACAACTTTACGCGTGAAGTACAGCAAATGGAAGGGCTGCTAGATCCAAGAAAGTCCAAAGTTCAGCTTTGGTAATCTATCTCTTTGGCTCGAGTGTTGGTTGTGAGCTGAGGGCATAAATGGACAGCAGAGAGAAGGAACAACCATATGTAAAAGACAATTTAAGATGTGTCTTGGCTGTGCAAATGCTGAATGCAGCTCAAATCCAGTTAGTTTGGGTATTGTTTAAATTCACAGTTTTATCTCAGAATAGGCTCTTGAGTGTCATAACTTCCAGCTGTTTGGCTTTTGACTTATGAGAGTTGGCTTTGCATTTTCATTTTGGTGATATGACTTCCGTCAAAGTATGATTTTCTTGTAATTTATGATGGAAAGCTCTATCTAGTTCAGAGAAAGAACGAGCACAAACTCAAAAGACTCGGAAAGGATGCCAGAGTCATCTGGGAGAACAAAGGGGAAGTTAAATTGGAGCAAATTGTATACCTTTTCATGCTTCCGACCCAATTCGGCCGATGATGACCGTGCTCAGCAGCGCCTCGGTCAGCCAGGATTCTCTCGGGTGGTATTCTGTAATGAATCTCAGCTACACAAGATCAAACCACATAAGTACCCCAAAAACTATGTATCCACTACTAAGTACAATTTTGTTACTTTTCTTCCTAAAGCACTATTTGAGCAATTCCGCAGGATTGCAAATCTTTATTTTCTTTTAGCAGCAGTGTTGTCTGTCTTTCGGTTGGCCCCATTTTCCGAGGTAAGCTTGATTGCTCCCTTGGTATTTGTTGTCGGGATTAGCATGCTTAAAGAGGCAGTGGAGGACTGGAGAAGGTTTTTGCAGGTAGATTTTAAGCAAATGTAGTTAACTCACTTATTTCCTGCAATTGTAGCTTAGTCCTCTAGTTAATTCAAATGTTTCCTATGTTTTCACAATATACATTTCTTAATACACTGATAAAAAAAAAAATTTCTAGTTTGTATGACTCCTTTTTTAGTTTCTAGTTTCTCTATCCATATCTACAGTAACTTTTCAATTTGATTCTATGGTTCATCATATATTGATCTTTTTTTCTTTTCTATTTGGCTGATGAACGTAAAGAATTTTCCCTTCAGTTGCATATTCGAATTGTCAGATCGTCCAATTCTGGATTCTACATATATTATATTTTCTTTTGGAAGAAGTGAAATGTAATTTCTGCTTGAATAGCTAGTCGGAAGTTTAGCTTTAAAAAAAATATGCCTCTCTACCATCTGGTCCATCTTTTATTTCATGAGTAACCTCTCACCCCTCTTCCCCATCCAGCCCAAAGGAGCAAAGGAAAAAAACAAACACGGAACATGCAATAACTGCTAAATTGTCTTAATGCCACCATATACCTGTAGGTTTCAAGCATTGGTCTATATCAAGTTAATAATTTAGGAAACTGACTTGAAATATTCTTTTGAATTATGTACTTGGAATATAGATGTAAGCGTATGTGTCCAGTATGGCAGCCTCTGTACAAAACAAACAAGAACAAGAATGCCAGTGCCAGAACGGCATCCAACAAGCATACCTTTCAGTGTTCCACTCACTGTCGTTCGAAATGCTAAAATAGTTAAGGTTTCTAGGTTAGAAATTTGAATTATGAGGCCATTCATGATTCATCTCAATCCATTGTGTTCAAGTGCATCGATATTATTATTTTTATCTTATAGAACCGAACAACAGTACTGCTATTGATTACTGATGGTTTATTAAAAAAATTCCAATTTTGGTATAGCCTTTTACTGAATATATTGTGTACGCTAAATCATTTTGTTTAACGGTGATTTACAGGATCTGAACGTAAATTCTCGAACAGTAAAGGTTCATGTAGGTAATGGTTTATTCGTGGAAAAAGCATGGAAATTGCTTTGTGTGGGAGATGTTGTCAAAGTTAGTAAGAATGAATATTTTCCAAGCGATCTTCTATTGTTATCTTCTGGCTATGAGGATGGAATTTGTTACGTAGAGACCATGAACCTTGATGGAGAAACCAATTTGAAAGTTAAGAGATGCTTAGAGGCCACACTTGGTCTGAATGAGGATGCAGAGTTCAGTAAATTCAATGCCACAATACGCTGTGAGGACCCAAATCCCAGCCTTTACACTTTTGTGGGGAATTTGGAGTTCCAAAATGAGTCATATCCTTTGTGCCCAGCTCAATTGCTTCTAAGAGACTCAAAACTTAGAAACACTGATTACATTTATGGAGTTGTGATCTTTAGTGGACCTGATACAAAAGTGATAAGGAATTCCACAAGATCACCATCTAAGCGTAGCCGGATAGAAAGAAAGATGGACTATGTAATTTTTGTTCTCTTCTCTATGTTGGTTTTGCTTTCATTAGTAACCTCCATTGGGGCTGCATGTTTCACAAAATCTGAAATAAAAAAGTTGTGGTACCTTCGTTTGGAGGAAGAAGATGATTCATTGTTCAATCCATCCGACCTTGTTTACTCAGGGTTTCTTCAATTTATAAGGGCCCTCATATTGTATGGTTACTTGATTCCAATTTCTCTCTATGTATCCATTGAAGTTGTCAAAGTTCTACAAGCCATGCTCATTGACAAGGATATAGAACTGTATGATGATGTAACATGCAAATCAGTCATAGCTCGTACTTCAAACTTAAACGAGGAACTCGGTCAGGTAGAAATGATTCTGTCAGACAAGACAGGGACATTGACTTGTAATCAGATGGAGTTCAGGAAATGTTCAATTGAAGGGATTTCATACGGGGGTGAGATAACTGAAGTTGATCTTGCAGTTTCTAAACGGATGAATATTGATGTTGAGAAATACCGGTTTAGTTTTGATGGGTCAGATTCCACTCCTAGAAGCTTTGAAATGTTGGAGTCTACTGTTGCTGAGGCTGGCTTAGAAAAGGCTGTTCCAGGTTGCAAACAAGCTGTTGAAAATTTAGGTACAGGAAATTCAAAAGTTTCTATTTCCGAGAAAGAAGCTGTTATAAAGGGTTTCAACTTCAGGGACGATAGGCTCATGAACAAACATTGGATGCATAGATCTAATTTAACTGACATGACAATGTTCTTCAGAGTTATGGCTCTGTGTCATACAGGCATACCAGTTGGAGATGATCAAACTGATAAACTGAAGTATGAGGCAGAGTCTCCTGAGGAAGCAGCCTTCTTGATTGCTTCACAAGAGTTTGGATTCAAGTTTTACCGGAGGACTCAGTCTGTAATGCTTCTTAAAGAGCTTGACCCATCTTCTGGATTGGAGGTAGAGAGGTAAAAACTTACTTAAGTTTGTGGTTTTCATCCTTTCTGATGATCATATTCTTTCTTCAAGTTATAATATATAGTTATCTTACGTATCGAAGTTATTTTCAGGGAATATAAACTTCTAAATCTGTTAGAGTACTGTAGCACCAGGAAGAGGATGTCTGTCATAGTAAGCGATGAAGATGGTCAGATCTTTCTCCTTTGCAAGGGCGCTGACAAGTATGTTATCTTGTTTCAGTAATTTAATCCAGAAATTTAGCATGAGTAGATGTTGGTTTAAAAAGAAGTGCTTATATTCAGAATACTCGAGACAATTAAGTTTAGGACATCACCACCTCTCTCTCTCTCTCTCAAGTTAAGTTGGGGGGCTCATGCATACAAAATAAGATAAAGCTTGGCCATAACACAGGCTTCCTGAATCGTATGTCTGACATCTTTAGATTATTTTTTTCTTGGTAAGTGACTAATTATTTTATAAACTAAATACGAAATATAAAACAAACTCTGGCTAATCAAACTATTGGATCAATCCTGCAGCTTCAGAGGGCTCACAAGCTGAAAGGAAACAATTAGAATTGAATAAGCCTCCAATGTTTCTCTAATTAGAGATTGCAGTAGTCTAAAAATTCCATATATATATATATATTTTTAATCTAATTTTTCTACTGGTTTTGGTTTTCAGCATTATCTTTGATAGGCTTGCAGATAATGGTAGGACATATCAACTGGCAACAAGTATGCACCTTTCAAACTATGCAGAAGATGGCTTGCGCACTATGGCATTTGCATATCGAATAATTGAGGCAACTGAGTATGAACAATGGAACTCAATATTTACAAAAGCTAAGGCTACAATAGGTCCTCAAAGAGAAGAATTACTAATGAGTGCCTCTGAAATGATTGAGAAAGACTTGATTCTGCTTGGAGCTGTAGCAGTTGAAGACAAATTACAGAAAGGGGTTAGTTTTCGTCTGTGTCTGTGTGTGTATATATATATCGTGTGTGTCCACCAGAAAAGATGTAAAATTGCTGCACAGAAACAAAAGAGAAGCCATGTTCCCAAATACTTGCACTTCTCAAATTCTTCTGGATATGTGTCTACTCGTTTTGAATGTATGATCTGAACGTGTAGACATAGTCGACACTTCTCATACTCTCTAACATGTGACTAATGAACCTTATGACATTGGATAAGATTGTCATTTAGCTTTGAAAAAAACTGTAAGAAAAATTAAATTAAAAGATCAAAAAGAATTATCTGATTATATTAAAAAAAGAGGAGATGTAGACAGCTTTTATTTAAGGAGTTGGCATTTGTAGCAGAAGAGAAGTCATCAAAGTATCTGTACATATACAAATTTATATACCAATATATATCTACGTACATATATAAACACACACATGCAGTGTATACCAAGTCATTCTGTTTATAACAAGGTTCATTATGATTTTATAATCACAGAATGCTAGATGTAGTTGTCCTACAGTAACTTTAGTAGTATATAATATAAATTCTGTAAGTAACAATATATATTTTACCTTCGTCTCCATGTCCTAGTCTCTTAAGATCGTAGCATTGGCATGTCCATGTTGTGTTGTTTTATATCTTGTATCCCTGTCCATGCTTCTTAAATAGAAACATTGGAGAAGGCACTATGTGAGGGGTTCTATCTAGAGTTGGCTTTGTATATGAACTTATGAAGTGTTCTATCTAGACTTGGGTTTGGATTTTAATGAAGAAATTTTGTGACCCAAACGTAATAAAGTTCACTGCTTTGACATTTCGATAAAAATTCTTTGAGGTTCCAAAAATTTTGGATCTAATTTGGATATCTTTTGGAGCCAAAACTGTTACAAAAGCTGATATCTACGAGATTGCCTCAGTAATAAGTACCAGAGATATCTGGAATCTGAATATCCACCTTCTTTGTAATGGTTACTTTCTCTCTCACCAAACTTTTGTCCCACCCGGTGTGAGGGAGTTAATTTGCCTAGAAAGAATCCCCTCTGGTTTGATTTCAACAGTTCATTTTGGTTCACAATTGCCACAAGCGACAAAGGAGTACAAGGGGGAGTGAGCACATTCTCTATAAAATTATAATGTCAAGTTATAACCTTGCTTTTTTCTTGACATGATGCATGAAACTATCCATACATTTTGCCACTTAGGTCAGAGTAGACTTACTTGGCTTAAAACTATTCATGGCTACCAACAGTATGAAAGTTCTCATAATGATTCTATCAACATTAATATCAGGTTCCTGAGTGCATAGATAAACTAGCTCAAGCAGGACTGAAGATATGGCTGCTCACTGGTGACAAGAAGGAGACTGCAGTTAATGTTGGGTGAGACAAGTGACTGTTTTATAGTTTACTTTAGCTTCAAAAATGTTACACCCTTTCTAAAGCATTAAAAGGAAAAAGTGGATTTTACAGTAAGCTTTGTAGCATCTGAATCTTTTAATTCATTTTACGTTTCCATCGACCTGGCAGATTTGCTTGCAGTTTACTTCGGCGCGATATGAGACAATTTCATTTGAATTTGAGCGAAGAAGGTGAATCTTACAATCAAGTGAAGGTGAAATGCTATTTCCAAGGCTATAGACATGTAATTTCAGCACCATTTGCTTCTTAAGAAGAAGACGGAGAAATAAAATTTGGAATTTTAAAATTACTCTTTATTGCTAGTACTGGGGCATTGTGGCTTTGCAATGTGGTTAACTATAATTTTTTTTGTTTTATATAAAATATTCTGAGTTGGTAATGGTGACTTCCATTTTTTCTAATTTTTCAGGCCATGAAAGAAGACATTTTACGTCAGATTGAAAGTTCTTATCAAGTGATCTGTGGAGAAGGCAACAAGGATTCTCCTTTTTCTTTGGTCGTAGATGGGAGAGCTCTTGAAATTGCTTTGAGAGGTGACGTAAAGGATCAGTTCTTACGATTGGCAGTTCATTGTGCTTCTGTCATATGCTGTCGTGTGTCTCCGAAACAGAAAGCCTTGGTAGGCAATACATAACTTAAAAATACTTTTTTTTTTTTTTTTTTTTTTTTCGTTTTTTAGTTGGTACTCACACACCCCCCTCCAAGGAATTGTTTTCACCTAGCAGGAATCGATCCTGAGACCTAATACTTCATGAGGCACTAGGGTCCAAGTCTTTTCCAACTAGGCCAACCCCTTGGGGTTTAGTATTGTTTGATTTTTATGTACCAATGAAATCAAATAAGTCTACTGATTTTTAAAATAATATTGGAATGGATTTCGTTTGATCATTGGAGTATTCAAAATAATGGCAGTCATGTTATCGAATTTTAGCTAATAATTATTATTATTCAATATTATCCTGTTACTTGCATCTTTTCTCCTTTGTAATATCTTATTCGTTTTATTAATTGTGCTTCCCGTATATCTCCTTCATTTTCTGTTTTCCATCTCCTTTTGTTATAGCAGAATCTCTTTCTTCATATTAATACTTGTAGATCATATAATGTGTTATTGCATATTTGAAGTATTAGATGCATAAAATGACATGATACCTTGTTAACCGTATGCACAAGTAGTTTTTAATGTTTGTCCATGCATGTTTCAAGAAGGTTAACTGTGCAAATGGCATTTGCAGATTACTCGATTGGTTAAGGAATACACTGGCAAGACCACCTTGGCAATCGGTGACGGGGCAAATGATGTTGGCATGATTCAAGAAGCTGATATTGGAGTAGGTATCAGTGGCATGGAAGGGATGCAGGTAAGCCCAAGTTTGTTCACCTTCTGATTGAAAGTGTTCTTTATTGTATTTTATCTTAACAATAAGATGAAATGTTTTTCGTGCTTTTGTTGCTTATAGATCAAAATTGAATAAATTATTAGCACTTTAATATACAGTTGCTTTTTCTCATTTGATGGATATGCTAACAGTTTGGAATCAGGAAAAACTGGTTTTTGGCTTGTAGGTATTGAAGTTCTTTCAAAATCTCTGTTGTTTGACAATTAGTGGAATCTTTAAGAAAGATGTCCAATTAAGGTTCATAGTGCTTCTGTGAGTGGCTGTAATATCCACACACACGCACACGCACACGCCCATGCTGTATACAAAATTTTCTAATCCTTGCCAAAACCATACTGCATACGCATTGGCATTTAAAGTAGTTATCATTTAATAGTTTAATCACCAGTTAGTAAGACCTTGCATATAGATTCGATTCAAGCCAAAAATGGATTTTTAATTTCCAAAAGTCCATGTTAATAAAATATTTGTTCGTAACTCAGTCATAACATTATTAGTTTTTCTCATTTCTAGAGAGGTGTAATTATATTACAAACTACAAGAAGCAAATGGATCCTCCGAAAGAATTGCCTAAAGAGCTGTAGAATGGGAGAAAAGTATTATGTCGATGTGAATTCTCCATTCAAATGATATAAATGTGACAATAGTTGCATAGATGTGTTTTTCTGCATTGTTGAATGTTTTCATGGAATGTCATTTGCAGGCAGCCATGGCAAGCGACTTTTCATTGCCTCAATTTCGTTTCCTGGAACGGTTACTTATAGTTCATGGGCATTGGTGTTACAAAAGAATCTCCAAGATGGTAAAACTTCAGTGTCTCAATTTTATTTATTTATTTATTTGATATCCAGTTCGGACTTTAATTTTTCTTCCCTTGCTGTAGATTCTCTACTTTGTGTACAAGAACATAGCTTTTGGCCTTACTCTGTTCTACTACGAAGTATACACAAATTTCTCTGGAAATGCTTTATATGATGATTGGTATATGGTAACGTTCAATGTCATCTTGACGTCCTTGCCAGTTATAGCATTGGGAGTCCTTGAGCAGGATGTTTCATCAGATGTCTGCCTGCAGGTAAAAAGATCAAAATAACATAAATGTATGCTCAGCATTTGCGCATGCACACCCACACGCGTATGCACATTCACACTTCAAAAACCGAAGTCCTCTCAGATTGTCATGTTAACTCCTCTTTCACTCTGGTGTCTGAACACAAGATACATAACATTCTCGCGCTGGGAAGCCTGGGATGTTGGGATCAGGAGTGGGTGGGGGCAGCAAACACACACATACACACATACACACACACATTCACATGTAAATGTGGATTCGCATTAACACACATATGCACATGTACTCATTAGACCAGAATCACGCATAGATTGTCCCGGTAACTCCTCTATTGCTCCGGTGTTGGAACACAACACACATTAGTATCTTTTGGATGAGGGATTGATACATTCATTTCACCCATAAAAGGCTAAACTATTGACTTACTAAACTCCATTTGCAGTTATACGGCTGAAACCTGACCATACTATGATGTGGTGTGATGTAATGAGTCAGTGAGCAATTGATATAAGCTGGACCTTAATTCTCATTATTTATTTTGCTATAAAATGATGGACCTCTATGATTGGAACTGCATTTAAATACAATCTATTTGGTAACAGGAAAAAAAAAAATGACAGATTAATTCCTCTTGAAGCATTGTTTCTATTAAGTCTACACCTAATGCAATTTTCTTCTTGTCAATGGAATAGTTTCCGGCCCTTTATCAACAAGGACAAAAGAATGTCAACTTCAGCTGGAATCGCATTGTTGGTTGGATATTGAATGGCATGTTGGCTTCTGTAGCCATCTTCATGATAAACATCTATGTACTTTCCCCAGATGCTTTCCGAGAAGATGGGGAGGTGGCAGACGTTGCACATATCGGTGCCATTATATATACATGCGTAATCTGGACTGTCAACTGTCAAATTGCTCTTATCATCAACCACTTCACTTGGATTCACCATTTCTTCATCTGGGGAAGCATCTTATGCTGGTACGTCTTCTTGCTGCTCTATGGTGCACTCCCTCCCATACATTCACACGGCGGATTTCACCTCCTCACTGAAGCCCTTGGGCCTGCGCCAAAGTATTGGATTGTTACATTGCTTGTGATAATTGTTTCTCTCTCCCCACACTTCATACACATTGTTATTCAACGGTCGTTCTATCCCATGGATGATCATGTGATCCAAGAAATGAAGTATTGTAAGAAAGACATTACGGAGAAACCTATGTGGCTGAGGGAACAACAAAACTCCAAGAAGACAACTCACATTGGGTTATCTGCAAGAGTTGATGCTAAGATCCATCATTGGAAAGAACAGTTATATCGAAAGAGGAAATCCATATATAAATCAGTGACAGGCAGTCCATTTTTTTAAGAAGAAAACTTGTATTATTGCCTTATTCTCTTGAAGGTTCTATTGTGAAGAAAAGGTGTAATTATAATTTAATTTTTTTCGATTTGATTTTTCTAGAAAGGTATTATTACTTTCAACCATGTATTCCCATTGAGATTTACTCCATGAATTCTATTGTAATGAGTCTTCGTTTTTACTCAAATCAATGTTAGAATTTTCTCTGTAAATGAACATTCAAATTATTTCACCTAATTTTTTGTTCTATTTTTTTCCCTTCAAATTATTTCACCTAATATTATTTGTGTCAAGAGCACTTTACATGGAAAATGACATGCTTGTTAACTTTTTTAAGTGTCATGACACAATTGCTCTAATTTGTTTATTGAAATGAAATGGATTTTGTAGAGTTGTAACACAACACTAACTTGTTTTGTGTATATATATTTTAATTACAAAATACAAATGTAACAAATTCTTTTTTTAAAAAATATTGAATGAAAATTATATAATGACTCAATGTTTCATTTCATTATAATAAGAGAGCTACTATTGAGAGTTGGTTAACCGGATTACTGACAATTAACTTACTTGGATTTTAAATTTTATTTTATTTTGAACTTTAAAATATTATAGAAGTTGAAGTGGATCAAGTAAGTCTGGATTTAATTAAATGAATTAACTCGTTTAATCAAATTAGTCAAAATTTAATTAAATGGGTTGAGTTTTCATACCAAAACAATATGTCCATTTTAATGTATGTATGAACGAAGTTAACATTGATTATAATATAAAAAATTAAAAAATTTAATAATAATAATAATACAATAAATAAATAAATTGAACTGTTACAAGTTTTCAAAAAAATAAAAATAAAATTAAGTTTTTTAATTTTTTTTCAAAAATTAAAATCAAGTGAAGTATTGTCTAACTACTCGGTTTGACCCCTTGCTCTTAAACCCTATCTTATCCCTCTTCTCCTATCAGACCCGCCCTAAGGCTGTGTTTGGCAGGGTGGGTTTGAAGAGAAATAATAACATTAGTTATAAAAGAAAGGGAAAGAAAGGAAAAGGAAGGATAATTTTAATTTGGTATTGTGTTTGGTTGATTAAGGAAGGAAAGGATAATAATCATGTTCAAGGAAAGATAGGAAAGAAAATTATTTTTATAAATTTACTATTATGCTTTTTTATATTTTAAAATATAAATTTATTTATATATATATATATATTTATTTGTCTCCTTATATATATATATATATATATATAGCTTTCCATCTCTGTTCTCGTTCTCAACGCCGAACCCCTCTCTCTCTCTCTCTCTGCAACTACACAGCCGAACTTCTCTCTCTCTGTCTCTCTCTCTCTGCAACTACAAACTACTGCAAAACCCAGATTGTTCAAAAACTAAAAACCCAGATTGTTCAAAGAATCAAAACCCATATCGATCAAAACCCATATCAGTTTCCATCGCCGCTGTTCCAATTCCGGTTCGCGGTTCGCCGTCCCTCTCTCTCTGCAACTGCTACATCAACTAATCAAGGGAAAAATTGGCATCTGAAATCACACACCAAGCCTCTCCTTCCCTTTCCTTCCTTCATTTCCAATTAAGTGAAGTATTGTCTAAGTACTCGGTTTGACCCATTGCTCTTAAACCCTATCTTCTCCCTCTTCCCCATCAGACCCGCCCTCACACAGAAAGTGCCATACACAGCCCCAGGCGAAGAAGATGACCGGTTTATAGAGCTTGATTTGAAGGGAAAAGCCCACTGATTTACAGGCGAAGATCGATGATCGGTTTACAGAGGTTGATTTGAGCTCGGTTCATTCTCACCATCTTTAGCAACGTCGATTCATTCTCACCAATTACAAACCCAAACACATTCATCACTAATTACAAACCCAAACCCTTGCCGCAAGACCAAATTAGTCCCATACATACCCCGATCGTACCCAAATCAGCGTTCCTTATCCGAATGATGGCTTTGGCGGGTAATCGGATTGAAGATGTCCAGTGGCTTTGTTCCTTATCCGAATCTGAGCTTGTAAGTGTAATTTTTTTCTCATCCATTGCTCCACAACTTGTAAATTGCATTATGTGTTCATTTTCTTGAGAGTTTGCATGTATCCCATGTTCATTATCACCAGGATATGCTTATTAGCTTAAAAACACTGGTCCTCCAGCGAGCAAAAGTAGTTGGCCATGACGATCTAGCCAAAAAATTTGATTTGAAGATGCTTCGAGTGCTTAGTAAGTTTTTTTATTATATCAATATTGTTTACTTTTATAACCTATAATAATTCATTAATTTGTATACAGTAGTTCCATTAACTAATTTTATATGATCATGTTCGTATATTTTAGTTTTCCAATTTTTTTCTGTTCTTTAGGGAGAGTCTTATATATTAAGATACTTACTGCTTAATCACAAATACAATGCAACTTTGTTTCTTGGAATAATTACATATCAGTAGTTCTTTTTTCCCCTCTTTAGATGTTATACCGGCCAGCAATGTAGATTGTCCAATTGGTGCCATTGATCACGATCAGTTGGCTTGAGTTCTCTTATTTGAATACATTCAATAGCTTGTTCTTGATTTTTGTATACCTCCTAGAACTTTCAAATACTTAGTTTAAAGTATTGATCTGAGTTTTTTATATTTGAGTCCTACATGTAAAGTTTCACTCTGTGATAGCATCCGTCCTTTAAAAATTGATGGTTCTCTTCCTGTGCAAGTCTGTAGCAATCGATAGATACTCCAGAATTTGACTTTTTCAATCAGCAAACCTGCTTTGATCATCTTGTTCCGAGAAAAATATATTAAGCATGTTATATACCTTTGAACATCACTTGGAAAAGATCTACCATGATGACTTGTGGACCCATTTATCCAACAACTTTGGCCTTCAAAATATTGTTCACTTCAACTTGTCTTAGAATGTGCTCTATTGTATGGTGTTGCATGAAAGGAAGTCCAAGTTGTTCCTTTCCTTTCTGTTTTTTGATTTACAATTAGCTCTCCAAATTAGTTATCAAAAAAAAAAAATAAGGGGCTCTCCAAGAATTTAGGGAACACTTTGAATCACTTATGCTAATACGGAAGACAACTCCAATGAACTTTACTTTCATTGACATGAACAGAAGCATGCCAACAATTGTTTGTTCAATAAACACGCATAATAAATATGAATTACAAAATCCTTATGTAACCATTTTTGTATATGTGGTAGTCCGGGAGAAGTAGTGGTTTATAACCCATATCGATGTAAAATTGTCAAAATGAGCTATTTTTGTCATTGGTCTAAGCATGGGGCACATTCAGATGGGTAATAAGTGCAACCTCTTTAAATATATTACACATATGCTTTATATCTCTTCTGCATATAAAGGAAGGAAGCTTTCGAAGAGACTGCCAACCTCTTTAAGTGGGTAGGATTGTTACCCACCACCCTCCCAAAATCATAATTTGTGATTTATGTAGAGATTTACAGCTGAAGAAAATTCTTAACACAAAGATTGTGATCCTGGATCACATATGTTTCCTCATTCTTGGTGTTCTCTCTCATATGAGGATCATTAAGTATACATTAAGGTGTTTTAGGGTAGCATTTGCTAAATGGTTAATTTGACTTGGGTCGAAATCATGGTGTTGGGGATGTTTTGACATTAAGGAGCTGTCTCCTGTTTTGCGGTGCGGGAAATTATTTGAGCTTTCTATTGAGAGTGTTTCTTCCTTGATATAATATGAATTTAGCTGTTGCCATGTTGGTATACAATAGGATCTTCTGGATAGAGTTTCCTTGCTAACCTCCCTACATGCTTCCTCTTCTAATTTTCTATGCTCAAGTCCATAGCTTGCACACAGACAAGGTTACTGGGATTTTCTGTGCCCTGGGAAGGGAAATAAATCTAGCAACAACCCTGTGAAAAAGGAAAAGGTTTTTGCAGTTAAAGATTTGGGTGACTTGAACATTTTTATTCTTTAATTACGAAGCAAGTTTTGCTGGGTAGATAAATGGTTGGAAACTTTGATAATCTCTAAAATTTTTGGTTATGGCCTTGAAAGAAGATTTCTACTTTTTGTATTTTGTTTTGGGTAGTACCATCGTAGAAAACTTCCTTGTACGTATGTTGAGAATTAGTCTATGGAAGATAGGGAGTGCAAAAATATACCTTCCGCTTATTCTTGTGTTCTTTATCTAATTGTTTTAGAGAAGGGATTTGGCAGGAAGCATTTGCTTTTCATCACCTTTCTATATTGCACAATTGTGATTGTGGTTCACGGTTCACTAGTGTCAACAACAGATAGGAAATAAGTCAACTATAAATATTGCTTGCTTTTTCGAGGAAGCAATGCACCACACGTGTTCTTCAGAGATCTTCTTTAACGTGCTACCACATTTGATGTAGGACAGAGTAGTGCTCTATACCTAAATTGATGTAGAGCTGGAAGAGGAGGAGATTGAGAAGAAGAGAGAACAGAGAAGAGGAGTTGAGGGAGAAGAATTCTATATTTTAACAACTCAATATTCAATATTCTTCAAAAAGGTGCCCAATCCAATACATATGCCCATGTATATTGGGCAATCCAAAGAACTCTAATGTCCAAAATAGTTGCTACAAAATAAAAGAAGTGAAAAAATGGCTGCAAAGAACCCTAATAAAACATGTAGCCTTGCCCGTGCTCAGTGCTGAAAAATAGCTATGCTCAGTCTAAACAAAGCTAGATATAAAAAATTTCTTAAATATATAAGAAATTTCTAAATGAAAATATTATTAAACTTACTCATATTTATTATAATTTCTAAAATCAATAAGAAATTTCTAAAATCTATCTTTCCTTGCCACTCCTTTGAGCATAGGGTAGATTCCTGTGCGACACATGCGTACGGGGCAGCTTTTAATCTCCATCATCATTCCTGTTCAATTAATCTATGGAAAATTTATACAGCACAAAATGAAAATGAAAATGAAAATGGAATGTGGCAAAAGAAGAGGGGATAGCATATCACGTATGATCTTTAGCATTTCTGTTCTAATAAGCCATGCAGAAGTTGTTCAACACTTGGAACAAAAAGAAATTTGGCAAAAGAAGAATGAACGTGTAAGATCATAACAGTCACTCCGGACGTAATTAGGTTTGAAACCCAATGCATTTAAACTACGTAAGATCTTAGAATTCACCTCTTGAGCACCAAATGTAAATTAGCTGAAGGGATCTCGAAAATTGTAGTTCTTCTTTTCATGTACTTTTCCAAACAAATTAGAATTGAGTGAGTAAGAAGTTCTACTTTTCTTTAACAATAGCTCCTGGCCCTGTGCATTGGCCACTTGTACAGCACATTTAAGATTTAGGCATTTTCTTTGATTAAATATGCAGAGATGAGGATTTCAATACATCGCTAACCTTTATGAATGGACGAAATTTATTTTGCCATGAATTCCAGTTGTTCAGAATTAGCAAGATCTCTTTTTTAATTGATTGAAATTATGTTGTTTGTTTGATTTACATCTTACACGAGAGCTATTGCTCAGGTTTCATTTTGATGCAGTATCTTAAAGGACAACTTGAGGATTTGTCAGATGTTCCAGGCTTGGCTGAGTCTTCTGGGATTTTAGATAAATGCAATTTGTTAAAATGTGACATTAATGACAGTTTTGGCACTATGTGCATTGAAGAGTTAAAGTCATTTACTGGCCGAAGAAAGAGAGTAGCAGAAATGTAAGTTGAAGCTGTAAGACTCGTTGGATCATTACTACTTTGGGCCGTGTTCTTAGTTTTTACTGTACCTGTTTCAAAATTGGCCTTTTTTGTTGTATTATATTTATTTATTTGTTTTACAGGTTTTGTGAAGAAGCTGAACATGTGGCCCCTAATCATAAGAAGAAAACTGACTCTGGAAGATCCTTCTAAGTTATTTTGCACTGTGTCTCCAGCGTGTCAGCGCGCGCCTTTGATGGCCTTTTTGACTCCGGAAGATCCTTCTAAGCATTTCTTCAAGTTTTTGACGACTTCTTTTTTTATGTTTTGACCTTTCTGTTTCTTGCTTCATTTCCATGGTAAGCTTTTGAATTTCCAACAAGGAAGAAATGTCTTTCTAACGTGTAATTGAAGGAGATTTTGCTTTCAGAATGAAGCCCAGGGCACCAAATTTGCGTTGGTATCACCTAATATTTACCTGCGTCAGGATTGAGGTCTTATGAATTGTATATGGTGCGTAAAGAGCTTATGCATGCATTCATTTTTTGGCCCAGTTTGGATTGGCGTTTTTTAAACGCTGCATTTGGTTTTCTGGGCTTAGAAGCTAATATGAAGAGTGTTTGGATAGTTTTATAAAAGAGCTTTTTGCTCTTAGAAGAGCGTTTTGGAGAAGCTGGGACTCCAGCTTTGGCAAAACGCTTTTCTAGATACACACGGGAAGCTGTTTATGGGTTTAATGAATCTTTCAATATGACAAGCGTACTTTTTCTTTTAGACATTGAGAAAATAAAATTACAATATCTGCCAGTATAAAAGACTATCATATTATTCCTAAACCCTAAGCACAACTTAAACAACAACTTTAGGAAGATCATTACTTTCTTCTTTCGTTTCAGGCAAGGATACGGCATCTTTTACTTTGTTGTATATGAATGATTGATTATATTTTGTATATGAATGTTAGATTGAATGTATGGTGTGAAGTTTGAAGTGATCAAAATTTAAATCGTACTGTTTTTCTTAATCAATATTTTATTTATATATTAGAGAAAACTTTAATAATAATTAAAGTATCAAAAACAATTGTAATCTTTTACTTTGTTGAATGATTGATTCTATTTTGTATATGAATGTTGGATTGAATATATAGCGTGAAGTTTGGAATTATCAAAATTTTGAACTAATTAATCATACTGTTTTTCTTAACCCATTATTTTATTTATGTCCTAATCAATCACGTGAATGTTGAATCATTCACGCATGAACATTGTTGTATGGATACATATACATACATATACGTATGAACACTTAAACAACTATTTTTGTATGAATAACTATTTTCCCATGATATATAGATATATATACATGATATAAAACATTATAAAAACAACCATTTTTGTATGAACAACCATTTTCTCGATACATATACATGATATAAAACATTATAACATTTGTTATTACTATGCTTTTTATACTATGTGCTTTTTATACATTTAAGTATATATTGTGCTTGAGATATTGGAGAAAACTTAATCACCTTCCATTACTCACATAAATTTTAGTGAGCTTTGATTGTGACGTGGACCAATCAATATAAGACAAGTGTCCAAAAAAAATAAAAATCAAATTATTATAATTTTTTTTTTCAAAAATTAAAATTGGTTCATTCTCACCATCTTCAGCAACGTCGTGGATTCATTCTCACCAATTACAAATCCAAACACATTCATCACTAATTACAAACCCTAACCCTTGCCGCAAGACCAAATTAGTCCCATACATACCCCGATCGTACCCAAATCAGCGTTCCTTATCCGAATAATGGCTTTGGGGATAATTGAATTGAAGATGTCCAGTGGTTTTGTTCCTTATCCGAATTTGAGCTTGTAGGTGTAATTTTTTTCTCATCTATTGCTCATAAGTTGTAAATTGCATTATGTGTTCATTTTCTTGAGAGTTTGCATGTATCCCATGTTCATTATTACCAGGATATGCTTATTAGCTAGTAGTTGATCATGACGATCTAGCCAAAAAATTTGATTTCAAGATGCTTCGAGTGCTTAGTAAGTTTTTTTTTTTTTTTTTTCATATTCATTATATCAATATTTTTTACTTTTATAACCTATAATAATTCATTAATTTGTATACAGTAGTTCCATTAAGTAATTGTATATGATCATGTTCGTATATTTTAGTTTTTCAAATTTATTTTATTTTATTTTTTATTTTTTATTATTATTATTTTTTTCTTTAGGGAGTGTTATATATTAAGATTTTTTTTCATAATTGATACTAACACACACACATGCCTCGTGGAGGCTTGAACCCTTGACCTCCCTTTTGGGAGGTAAGGATCTGATACCGCTAGGCCACTGGCCGTTGGTAGTCCTACATATTAAGATACTTACTGCATAATGACAAATACTGTAATGTTTGTGCCTTTATATATATATATGTCTGTGTGTGCGGTGGTGTGTATTAAGGAAAAAAAAAAAAAAAAAAAAAAAAAAGTGGGATCCACAAATGTTAAGACCATGTTTTTTTTTTTTCACTGTAACCTCATCTTCTCTCTCTCGCGTCCATCTCTCTGTTTGTCTCTCGGCTCCTTCTTTTTTTTCTTTTTTCTTTTTTTTTTTCACTTCAAGCTTTAACTCTTGATTTCTCCCTCATCTCTTATCGAATTAAGGTGCCGTTTGAGGCAAAACGAAGCCCACGACGAGCTCTACGCATCCATACGAACAATTCCAGATTTGGTGCCCTTCTTGGAGTTTGAAATTCAAGACCCATTTTAAGGGTTTTGTGCAATCTTGAGGTAGGGACATCTTAAACCATGGAATCTTGTTCCATATTGAATCATGCTCTTCTAATTGTGTTACAGCATGTTTGATTGCTTTGATTCTTGTTTAAACTGAGATATTTGAGAATATGCCATGTTATGTGAATATGTGTTACTTGATTGAATGGTTAACATGTTTATATAGTGAGTTTCTATCATGATTATTATTTTACAAGCATGTTATAATGTTATATGAAATGGTACTTGTTGTAGAGTGTTAAATTCCCATTTATCATTGTATTGACATCATGTAAGATACATACATTTTGTTGGGTTGCATAGGAAGGGATGTTGGTGTTTGAAAAGAAAAATGGGAATTTTGGGTGATGTGTTTGGAAAAATTGGTTTTTGATAAACCCAGTCGCTGCTGGGTTACCAACGGGCCGGAGGTTAATATAGCCTAGAGGGGACTAGGGAGACACCCTAGCGTGGTTGAGCTAGCTGGGCCCCATAATGACGCCGCGGGGTTACCAAGGGTCAGGGA